TCAGGAATTTGACATAGAATATACAGTAATATATCTCTTCATATTGTTTACATCAGGGTGAGTTGAGAGGTATATTCAGTATACTCTGTATCACTGCATTGTAAACATATAGGTCCATTTGAATTAATTTGTAGCATTGTGTATTTTTTATTTTTTATTATTTATTTATATCCCATCTTTATTATTTTTACAAATAACTCAAAGTGGCAAACATATCCCAACACACCTTTTTTCACTTATTTTTTCCCACCACAACAAACCTGAAAGGTAAGGTGGTCTAAGAGAGTGTGACTGGCCCAAGATCACCTAGCTGGCTTTCAAGGCTAAGGGAGGACTTCAGCTCACAGCTTCTTCCTTTCTAGCCTGATGCCTTAACCTCCAGTTTTGCTTGACTTCAGCTAATGGTAAAAGTGGATTACAGTGGAATTTAGAAGATTGGTGTTCATTAGAAAGTTAATCATATGCGTTTCTTTGACACCTTATGCAGAGACTTAAGAGGGAAGGGAAGGGAAGGGAAGGGAAGAGAAGGAGAGGGAAGGGCAACCATGATGCAAACAATATTAAGGTTCAAAAAGATAACAAACAAAATCAATTAGCAGTCACAGCTGAATCTTTTTTACTCTAATTTGAAGAAGAATCAAAGAAGCTGATATTTTGCTTTTTAGTCAAATCAATCAAAAGGACTCTAGCAGAAATAGGGACTAATTTATGAGCATTTGAAGTTTGTAACTATGTAGATTATCTACTGAAAGTAGATAGGAGCAATATGTGCAGTAATTCCAGTAATGCCTCAGACTCACCAATATCTGATAATTTTGTTTATCTGAGAAAGATCTGTCCTTTGCTAGCCTGGTTAATTGTATGTGTCATGTAAGCCAGAAGCTGTTGGTTGATGCAAAGTTGTTATCATTGACCAAGTGAAGTGATAAGATTAACAGAGGTTTTTATGAAATTTTTATAATAAACACCAAGACCAGAAAGAGTGGTTATTTAATTATCATGGAAAGAATTGGAGTGCTTTTTTTTGTTTTTGCTTTTTTGTGTCTAAAAAAAAAAGCTTTTACTTGAACAAAATAAATTTTGCTTTAAAAAAACATGAATGAAATTGAAAGAATAATGTGCCACTAGGTGCTTTTCATATTTTTCTTGCAGAAGAAAAGCAAATAATTCTGTCACTATTGCAAACCAAATGAGAGCCATCTTATCCCCAAATGAATATTGATTTATGTTGATTGCAATACCCTTTACTGAGAGAGACAAAAAAGAAAAACATTCATATTAATAATAAAATGTCTTGAAGATGAGAAGGTTGTACAAACTTTCAAGCAATCACAAGGTTCCTCACTGATAGATGGGTGTTAAAGTAGTGAAATAGAAATGATGTGGTTCATTTTGATTAGACACAAGAATGAGTGACATTCTTTCCTGTTATCAAAGAATATCTCCTGCACAATGAATTAGTTGCTTTCCAATTTTATGATGGGTGAACAGAATTTCTTATGGCGGCGTATCCAGGCTGATTTATTAGTAGGCCATCCTTGCTATTTAGACTTCTTTCAAAAAATACTTTATTCCAGCATATGTAGATTCTTATCTGCTGAGCTGAATTTAGAACATCAAATCCAGATTCTTGCTCAATAGGACGTTCTAAGTTACAGCCTCTCCCATGCTATTGTCTAGCCCCTGTTTCAATATCCCATGACATCCACAACCTTTGTACTGTAGCTAATTGGTCTTGCTGTTAGGAAATGTTTTCCTCCTGCATTTGATTGCATTTTTTAAAAAAAATCAACTTCTTTTCCTTTTGACTAATAAGATCTCAGTGGTATTAAAATGACAACCATGACGGAAAAACACTGAGACTTTGATTTGTGGGGGGATTAAAGAATCAATAATACATTTAGAAAACAAGGCTTAGAAAAGTAAGGGGGGGAAGCTATCTTGTCTTGTCCATGCTCTTCCCAAATTTCCCCAGGTTTGTTTTTTGAGTTTGTTTTTGTTTCACATGTCTAAATGTATGTCTTTCTTTATAGCTACTAGCATAGGAATATTGAAAAGCAACAATAAGTGTGGAATTTGAGTCAGAAACAAAGGTATTTAAATTAACAGTAGTGTTTATTTTTCAATGCCAGTAATTGTTTAATTTTAGAATGGGGCAGAAAAGATTAATCTTCCTGTTCTCTTTTCCAGAATAATCAAAAAATAGTGATATATTCCTGGCAAAAAGTAATTAATTGAGCTTTGAACTCATTGAAAGATGAAATGATTCTTTCTCTTACCATCATCTGATTCCCATTGTTAATGGAAACAATGCAAAGGGGTTACTTTCTTTTTGATCCGTCTGAAAGTAATTTAATAAAGAACAAACAATTTTGTTTTAAGACTGTAGGGCAAGATAACTATTTTAATCTTTCTGGACTTTGTGATAGTGCCTAGTCCCAGTGCTGGCTAACAATAAATGTATATTGCAGTGAGGTTTCCTGTGTAGATCCAACTATGGTTTTTAAGCACTTAAAATATTTAAGTATGTTTCTAAAGATTGTCCATAACCGCTATAAAAACTGGATCTACCACTTTTTTACATTAGCGTTTATTGTTTTCCATTTAGCCATTTTGCAAAGAGAGGAAATATTTTACCAAGGGAACAATCAAAAGCAATTACTTTTGTCATTATTTTAAATTAAGGTTGCTACTTAATGTTCTAATTACTTGGCATATCCTTGCTCATTTATTGGTATTTGAAAGTTAGGAATTGTTGCTTAAAATCTTTTGCAAATAGAATATTGATCTGGCTTATCTTTAAATGACGTGTATAAATTCAGTCTAAAATTAATTGGCTGAGATTAATTTTAAAATTTCTAAGTCATTTTAAGGTTTTCAATTTTTAAAGCTGTACTAATGGTAATGGTATCAAGTGGTCTGATTTGTTTACTAATAAGCATAAACAGGTTTCAAGATAGAGGGTTCCAAATAGGCTTCAGAACATCTTCCATTCCAAAGCAAATTGAGTTGGTCAGTCTCTATTTCTATTTTGTTTGTCACTCAAATGTCTGCCACCCTTTACCCAAACAGGTTCATCCCCAAGTTATCTGAATTTCTGATTGGTACTGAAGGTTGATTATTTATCCAGACAATTAACTTGCACATATGAAAATGTTGCGGAAGGAACTATTGAAGGAGGTCTCGCACGCAAATATTATCTACTCCTCCCAAGAATTCTCATTGTCAAGTAAACCTTCTGATGAATCAAATATTCCAATCTGTCCTTCCACACTGAGAGTTCAAAATGCATTAAAAAAATTCCCACCATTGAAATGATGGGAATGGTTTAAATTCTCCAAAATACCCAGTTCTTATGGACCAGTTTTTCCAGTCAGTCAGAGTTGGACAGGATATAAGTTTAATAAATTATGGTTGCACAGTCAGTTTAGATTGGGGTTGGCATTTTTGTCAACTTATTGAATCCTTCCCAAGGACCTGGGATAGGCACATGTTGCTGTTTAATTCTTAAAGATATTATCGCAGGATGTAAGCTGTTCCAAGTGAAGCTGCCTTTTGCAATTGACTGATGGTGATTTTGTCAATGCTGATGGTGTTCAAGTGGTGCTCCAGATGTTTTGAAATTGCAGGCAAGGTGCCTGTTATTACAGGTAGTACCTTTGCTTTCTTTTGCCATAGTCTTTCTACTTCACTTTGCAGGCCTTTGTATTTTGTATTTTTCTCCAGTTTTTTCTTGTATTGTGCTGTCTCCAGGTAACATCCGCTATCCAGACTTTTTTGTGATGATGATGATGATGATGATTTCTAAGAAAAGGATTCTCCCTGAAAGTCATCTATTTAAGTTCAGACATATAGATTTGATTCTTGTAGAACTATGTAGATTTAATTCTTATTGAATATGGATTAAATCATTTAAGGAAGAGTTTTTTTGCCCAACAAGTTCAGGTCAGGTGTCAGAGAAGGAAGGTAAATTTTTTATGGACAAAGGAGAATCACAGGGTGAAAAAAAAGTATTAAAGATGATAATGTATCATCAAAGTAGATATATTAGAAATGTGAAAATTAAAACAGAAAAAGTGTGAGCATTATATGTTGGCCAATGGATTAGTTGAAGTTGGTACTATCCAATCATTTGACAATGCTTGGATTTTTTGGGGGGAAGGTATTGAATTATATACCTCTTTGTTTTTGCTGATGTTCACTTTGAAATTATTTTATATATCAACCCTTCCAGTTACTGAGAAAACTCAAATGCAGTTATGCAGTTATAAAATAAGCATTCATGGATTCTGTACTTAGACTTCTGATTACCTCCTTCCAATTACAGTTTTCTATTATTAATAATTTACAATGAAATGTTTAATATTTTGTTTTCATGTTACATACATGCTCAATTTGAATCTTCTTGATTTCTTAAAACTAATTTATCCTGCATTCTTGTTGTTAAAGTTTCAAGAAAATTGGGATTTTCATGATAATTAAATCGTGTTCTGCAACAAAACTCTATAAGCCTTTATTTAATTCCTTGTAATCTGTTACTTCTTTGCCACAGTGAAAAATAGTGGACCTAACGAATGTCATTTACTGTATCTTTTTGGGTCCTATATATTTAACTGTGATTAAATTCAAGAGTAAGTCTGTTTATCACTGCATATACATGATAGGAAAATATAATTTGACTTATTTCTGATAAACAGAATCAGAACAATTGTCTCACTTATCAAATGTCACATTGATGAGGATTTTTCAGAAAATTCCATTGACTCGTATTCAAGGAAAAATATACAAAGTTATAACTGTAGCATTGTTCTGTAATGCTACAATGCTTGTCTTTTGTTCTTGGTTTAATGTGAAATTTGTTATAACTGTGCATTCTGTGAATGGAATAGATCTTGCTTTCATAAGAGAAAGTTGCTTTCAATTTTGATGATAGAACATTTAGAACCTGCTTCAAAACTTTTTTATCTGCTTATTTCCTATATTTTATTTATATTGCACAGATTCCAGAAACAAAACTACATTCGAGCCTCAAAAACGAATCTCCAGAAGGGTACTATGAAGAAGCTGAGCCTTACAGTGTTTCTATGAATGGTACCTAATTGATATTTCTAGAGTTTTGTTGTTGTTTTGTTCAGTTGCGTGCTAGAAAGAAAAAAGTTATTTCTAAAAACAATCAGTTCAATTCCATTGGGGAAGAAACGCTCAAAATATAAAATTGCAAATGTGAGATTTACATTGCTGCCTCAGTTGTCTTCTACTCCAAAAAGAGGAACCAAGTTGTATGTTTAAATATGAGACTCAAGAGGACTTCCTGGGAAAAAATGGCAAACTGAAATGGAGTCAATGACTATGGCAGAATTTAGAACCAGTGTGGGAGAAAGAATGGCAGAGTTAAAAGAGGGATCCCTATGTAGCCACAAGTGGACTAAATCCAATCTCCCCATCCCAAATTCTGTTGACTATTATCTGATTCCAGGAAGGTGCTAACCATTAGTCAAGCACATTCCTGTGCATAGGCTTTTTAGCATTGTACAAATTTAGATTGTACAAATCAGAAAGTAGGGTTGCGTAGTGCTTTCAACTCAATTGCAGAAGGGAGCTTTGGGTATACAGGGAACTCAATTTGAAACCTCACATCACCCTGAGAATTATTTGTAATGTAAATTAGTATAAATAATATAAATAATTTGCAATGCAATTTTCATCATTTGTATCATTTCATCATACAAATCTTCAACAACAATGAGGACTTCTATGACAATAGCAAAATAAAGAGTGATGATAATGATGATGTTATTTATCCAGTCAGTCTGAATTCTTGGCAATTCTGTGGGCCAGGTCTCTCCATATCTTCTGATCTTGTCCCAAAGGTGCTTTTTCCAAGAGGCAACTGGACTTTCTCGTATTTCTTTGAAGATGTTTTGCTCTCATCTAAGAAGCTTCTACAGCTCTTGGATAAGAGACAAAATGTCATCAAAGAAAAACAAAACAGTCCAATTGCCTCTTGGAAAAAGCACCTTTGGGACAACCATGACTTGGGTGACTAAGAATCTCCATAGATCTTTCGATCTTGCACTATTTCCTTGTCTTTTTCTATGCTCTGGCTGGTGTCAGCTTTGATGGTGTCCAGCCATCGTGTTCTTTGACAGCCTGGTTTCCTTTTACCGCTAACTCTTCCAAATATAATTGCTTTCTCCATGGAATTCCCCCACATGGCATGGCCAAAGTAAGTGAGACACAGTTTCACCTTTTAATGACATCTGGTATTATGTGCTCCAGTACTTGTTTGTCACCTTTGCTGTAATACTTTTTTCCACTTGTGTATAAGTCTCATGAAATAAATATTAGCCCCTCCCCACTAAAATTAAATACTGGCTTCCACATGAAGAAATCAGTGATCAGAGCAAACTTCAGGAAAGAAAAATAGGGTGACATGGAATAAGATTAAACTGTTGAATTTGTTCATTGCACCATTTTCAGTGTTAGCTAGTCCAAGCAAGTGTGTGGATGTACTTTTGGTATGGTATCTTCAGACTTTTGTTTTCTTCTATTTCCTGTAGTTTATAATATTCACAGATACTTGAAAAAGAAAGTCATTATTTTAATGTGTCAGAACCCATATCTATCATATTTCATAAATCCCTGCCTCTCTTTCTCTTGTTTCTCGATTCCATTCTCTTCTCTCCCTGGGTTCTGCCATACTCCTAGAGGGGAAGGGGGACGGAGCACAGGTTTATTGCATTAGCTTTCTCTATTGATACAATGTAGTGCTTTGCTTTCCTGCCTCCTTTCCCTATTTCTACAATGTAACACTTCACCTTAGCTTCATTTATTGCCACAATGTAACACTTCGCATTCCTGCACTGTATCTCTCTCTGAACTTTCTTCTCCCTAACCTGTCAGCTAGCAAAAAGGGAGGAGGGAGAAAGAAATACAACCTCTGGAGCCTGGCTTATTTCTCCACTCTCAAGAGAATATACAAAGAGCCGCTTAAACATTGCCGCTACGACCAGAGCCGACCGATGTTATCTCCCCTTTCCCACAATGGATTTAACACCTGGGGATTGGCCGGTTTGAACCATCCGGATGAACTATGGGGTGGGGTTTGCTTGGGGATACTTAGTCCATTGATCTGTATAGGAGTTCCTCAGATTCTATCTAGTATGCCTGCCATCAGTTTCTCCTAATAAAAGTTCCTTTTGGAAGAGCTTGCTTCCATGAGTTCTGCTTTCTTGGGATGAGGTGTTGAGGTGGGCCCTGACAGTAAGATAAGTTACAGTTCTTTGTTACTAGCTATTCTAAGAGTATGGATATTGAAATCTTAAGACTTTTGAAGGTTATCAGTTTGCATGATGTAGCAGAACATAGAATTTATAAAAGTGATATATTATGTAACTTCAAACTGAATAAAAACCATGTGTAATATACATATTATTAAAACATGTCACTGTAATATTTATTTCATACCACTACAGCTTGATTGGATTAATTAAATAGGACTGTTGACTATACAGATACTCAAATTATTAGTGTAATAATTCTATCAAAATTAATGCAAGGGTTTTCTAGGGGTCAAAAACAACCTGATGGCACATTAACAATTATTTCATATGAATGTAATTCATGCCATTCACTTTTCCAAGTATATTATATTAGATGATTGCAGCCTACACGAGATGGCTGTTGTTATCAAATTTAAAAATTGGATTGGATAGTGAACTTCTGCATGCTGATCAAAATAGAATGGGGTAAAGTTGTCATATATTCTTGAACATGTAATGGTTTAAATTTTACAATTTCTCAAGTCATCTTTATTTCTGGTTATCTTAGTTATGCATATTGGGATGCTTTGGCACTTACCTAGTGAACGATAGAAAAAAAACTAATCCCTTTTTAACCTGGATGTAAGTGTAAATGGTCTTTTTTCCCTTGGAGCAGATGATGAAGCAGTCAGCAGCTCCTATGAATCCTATGATGAGGAAGAGAGCAGTAAAGGCAGATCAGCCCCTCACCAGTGGCCATCACCTGAAGCATCTATTGAACTTATGAAAGATGCCCGGATCTGTGCTTTTCTCTGGCGAAAGAAATGGTTAGGCCAGTGGGCTAAGCAGCTTTGCATGATTAAAGAAAACAGATTGTTGGTAAGTATTTAGCCAGAAAATATGTTTAAAATCTAAATTATTCTTGAAGTTTTTCTGTTAAAATTTTAAAAATGAAGAATTCAGAAAATAGAAGTAGCAAATAAATCCAAAGGGGCTATTTCATCTACGAAATTCCTTCCTCCTGGTAAGCAAACAAATATTTTTGGGTAGCCTGTAAATAGGATGTGAAGGCAACTTTACTTTAAGGATATGTAATTTTCAGATGTTTTGGACTACAAATTTTACTATCCTACCTCAGACAGTCATTTAAGAGAGGTCCTTGGTTTTCCGTTCTTGAAATAAGAGCAAATGGTTCTCAAGACTAGAAGTGTTTGCAGAAGAGCTATTTGGGCAGATAAGGAGGGAGGAACTTGAAGGAATTTTAACAAGTATGGTTCATAGTATGAGGCAGGGAAGCAACCAGAAATATAGAGCCAAGGTAACCCTTGTCATCTCTTACTTTATTCCATATTCCAATATATTTGTTGAGAAAGAAGCATGCATGAATTATATATACTCTTGTTGGAGAAGTATAGTATAGGGTTAGACAAAGGAATACTGTAATCAAGAGGTTTTAATGCTTGAGGTAAATAACAAGCTGCTTCCCCATCCCCCTCCTCCAAGTATCATTTCAACATTAGTGATGAGAATGCATACTTGAATATATCTAAATTAGTTACATGGCACATGTAAAATTTGTATTAAATGTGAATACAAATTTGTATTAAATGTGAAGATTGGTAGAGGCTTTCCTTCTAATCTTTATTGGATAGCTTTAATTTTTGCTTTCTAGCCTCCAGCAATTCTGTTTTCATTCATTATTTCATGAATCATTCATTTCATAATTTCACCTGAAACACATGGCAGTTGGCTTTACTTTAAAAAATAAATATTACTTATTACCTGGGACACACTGTAAATAACAAGCCTACCTCTTTAGGTAGGTTTAGTCCCCCTTAAACATGGCTTGAGACTATGTTACTGTACAAATTCTTCTATCTGAGGTATCTGCCCATCCACCAGAATAGATAGGGAAGGTGTATTCCAGGTCCTTTCTCTTAAACATTTCTATTTGTGAGTCTTTAGAAGCATGCCTTTTCTGTTGTAACCTCTGTCTTGAGATCCAACAGCTCTCCTCCTTTTAACCTTCAGGAGAGCAATTAAGACCTGCTCTTCTTTCAAGGGTTGCAACAGGGTGAGTTCAGAGTGGGATGAGACTATTGTGAGTGCCCTCTGGGAAGTGCAGTTGTAGGCCCAGTTTTTTCTTTTTTTCTTTTAGTTTCATCATTTTTTGTTTTATGATTATTTCTTGTTTGATTGGTTGTAAGCCACCCAAGAGTTGGTTTTCAGATAAGCAGCTGAATAAATGTTTTAAATGATTTTAAAGAAAACAATAATCTTACTACATTGCTTTTGTTCCCAGTGCTACAAGACTTCCAAAGACCATAATCCTCAGCTGGATGTTAATTTGGTAGGTTGCAGTGTCATTCACAAGGAGAAGAATCTAAGAAAGCAGGAACATAAGTTGAAGATCATCCCCATGAATGCAGATGTGATCGTCTTGGGTTTGCAAAGTAAAGACCAGGCAGAACAATGGCTCAGAGTGAGTTGAGCCTTTTTTCTTTGAAATTTCTGTTACTCCAGGTTGTGGGGATTTGTTGAAGCCACAATTGCAAATGTCAATACTGAACTTGGCAGCCTGCATTCTTGTGCTTTACCAGTCATGTGATTTAAGGCTCCCCCTTAAACACACAATGCCTTTAGGAAAAGAAACCATACATTTATGAAATATACTTCATTGGAGCCCAAGGGCAAATGTATGAATTAGAAGAGCAAAGCTCCTTGTTAAAGTAATTTTAAATTAAAATATTTTTAGAGAATTTTCAATAACGTTAATTTAAATTTTATACAGATAGTCCTCGGGTTATGACCACTCACTCAGCAATCATTTAAAGTTATGATGACACTGAGTGAATGGTGCTTACAATTGGTCCTCTATGTTCTAGATTTACTTACATCTTACTGTGCTTCTAAGCTTTTCAGGGGATAAATATTCAATGTTATGTGGCCATGCCCTTGCTATTTGATATTCCTGTACTTATTATTTTGATTTTTCTGCATCTTGATTTTCCATGCCAAAGACCTCTGAATTGACGTTAGCTATGAAAACACAAGGAAATTCTTAATAATTTATAGTCAAGTAAAAAGGTCCAAATACAAAGCAAGTACATGCTGTTTGGTAAATCTTTTAAAAGCACAAGAACACTGGCTGGCAAAGTACCAAGCCTCTGTTTCTAAATTAAACTAACCACAGCAAAAAATACATGGATGCACTCATCTTGGTATAACACAGGGTTACTTTGTCAGCCCAAATTGGGATAATCTTCTGCGCCTCTCATGATTGGTTTAATCTAGAGTGGTCAGTATAGCACAGAAACTAAAATCATTTTCATCTTCTAATAGGTGGAAGAGGAGTTGTTTTTTTTAAAAAAAAATGTTGGCACATGTAGTGTTTTGCATCTTGATATCTCTACTGACTGCCCAGAGACTGTTGCGTAAGAAATGATTCCTAATTAGCGTAGAACAATGGTGGGGATTGCCCAGCACATCCTCTGATTTGGTGTGCTGTTTATATATATGTTCTAGGCTTCACTTTCAAGCAGAGCTTTCTGAAACAGCTCAACTTCTATACCTCTAATTTCAAAATTGCTTTGTTTAAACTGAGTTATGTTTCAGTTAAAATTAGCTGAATGTTTTTTGGCACAGAAGAAAATAAAAGATGTAGCTGGCCATAAGACAAGAACTTGCTTACGTCATGCTTTTCCTTCCCTTCACAGGTAATCCAAGAAACAAGTGGTCTCTATCCAGATGGGCCGTGTGAAGGAAATCAGTATGTTCCAGATTTTCAGCGGTTCAATAATCCAAAAGTATGTCTTATCTTTTGAAAGGGATGCTTAAAAAGTAGCTCTTAAATTTTCTGTTGCATAATATTTTAAAACTACTTAATTATATAAGGGAGGTTACTCCCACCATCAAAACAGGAAAATGGCTGAAACTTGCAAATGTGAAAACTCCAACTTTTGTTGTATGCTGCAATTAGAACAGCTTCAAGCATCGTTCCATCCCTTCACAACAACACTTCTTTGTATCCATTTATCTTCCCAATAAGCTTGTTTCAAATTGATTTTAAACAGAGCTTAATAGATTTAGTTCTGTTCAAACCCAAGTGAAAACATTGTATAAAGAAGCATTGTTTTTTTCCTTTAATCCAGTGGATTTAGCCAGTTCGCACCAGTTCAGCAGAACTAGTAGCTAATTTTTTGTTGCCCAGGCCCAGAATGGACTTTTTGTTGCCCAGGCCCAGAATGGAAGCAGCATCCACACAGAGAACTGGTTGTTCACATATTTGAATCCCACCACTGCTTTAATCCCTTGTTTCAGGGTGGAGTTGGGGTGACTGAATGGAGCTGAGCATTTACTGGTCTTTATAAAATCTCTATATATAAATATAAAGAGCCATGGTGGTGCAATGGTTAGAATGCAGTATTGCAGTCTAATTCAGCTCACTGCCAGGAGTTCGATCCTCACTGGCTCAAGGTTGACTCAGTCTTCTATCCTTCCTGGGTCGGTAAAATGAGGATCTAGATTGTTGGGGGCAATATGCAGAATCTGTAAACCTCTTAGAGAGTGTTTTAAAGCACTATGAAGCGGTATATAATCTAAATGCTAGTGCTATTGTTCTCTATATAGAGATACACACACACATACCCATACATATGCATATTTTTCTTTTTCTTTTGGTATCTCTTTGGGACAGTTGGGATTTTTTAATTGTTTATTTTCTATTTTTGTCTTATTTTCTACCATAATCAGTAGAATGTTATTTGTTTGTTTCTGTTGAATTTGGTGTGCTAAGAACTTTCTTGGACCCCCACATGCACTCCTCCAGATACTTAAGGAAAGCATCTGGGATGGGAAACATGGAACAAATTTAGTCAAACATAACCTAGAGCTCATATAAAGGCTATTCTAATGATAGTAAGGCCTTCTTTCCTACCACTGTGTCAGCACAAAATTGCCTTATGGAGTTGTTGATGTTGTTTCAGTTAGAGCTACTCTGTTCTGAGCTGCTGAAGAGAAGGGAGTGTTCTCAATAACCTGCTGTGATACATTTGCAAAACAATTTGCTGATTATATTGCTTACCTCTATTCTAACTTGGACTTCTTGTTCTATGAAAGTGATTAATGGTGTTCAGTTTCCATGGATGTGACTTAACTCATTCATTTATGGACCCAACAATTTTTTTAAGGGTAGGAATGGGAACTAAATGACTTTGGGAGGCAAATCATTAACTCTGCAATCCTAGATATATATCTGCATCCAGCAGAAGAGGCCAAGATAGTACTACTAGGCTGTTCCACTACATTATGCCACTTAATTCAGCCCTGCAGGGTTCTATATGCTTTTAAATATCCACAAGAAGCTGCTAGCTCTTGTGGAGTTTTAGGGAGTGATCTGATTATTATTTGGGTGATATCTAACACACTTTTTTGACCATTGATGCCAAGGAGCTTTTTGAAGTTACTTTTCCACGTGGCTTGGCTACCATGAAAAGACTTTTTCCTCTTACTTTAATTAATTCTTCAAAGTTCAGAATGATTTTACATTCAGAATTCTGTGATGTTTATGTGTCCCAAAGGAGCTCTATTTTCCTGAATATAGTAAACATTTCTTTCCTCAATAGATTTCTTGCTGGTTCATTAAAAAGAATGCTTGGGTGAATTAAACTGACAGTAAAAGTACATTTCATACAACGTACTGTTATTTGTTTATATTATAATATCAGTATTATAATTAAATGAACATGTTTTTTAAGCCAATCAATCAACCATTGGACAATTAATGTTATGAAAGAGGAAGCTTGAGGGAAAGATCAAGTTTCTCCATTCATGTGCCTGGTGTTCCAATCAAGTTGTGTTGCTATTTGCCCGAAGTCAAATAAAAAAGAAGCAGCTGGTTTTTTTAGTGAAGATTTGTAAATCTGATAACTTGCCAAGAGCAATAGATACATCGATATTCATGCTTTTATATTGTACTATCCATCATTTTCTCACATTGCTCTAAACATAAAATATAAGTTTCCAACAGGCAGAAGAGTTCTTCAGTCCAGTATGTTATAATTTTCTCAACTTTAGTCATGGAGATTATCCTTTGTTCTTTGCAGGTGGAGCCATCAGAGAGTGGAAGCAACACTGATGGTCACATGGAGCTGATGGAAACAAAAGATGGTAACGTGACTTTGAATTCAGAAAGTTTCCCCAATCTAGTATCTTTCATAGATGTTGGGAATTGTAATCCCATGACAACTGGAAGATTCTGGGAAGGAGGAATTTGAATTAGGCGGAAGAGATAAATTAAAGCAGCTTTCTCTGCTGTATGTTGAATTTGCAGATTTCCTGGTTGAAATAGAATTGGATAGAGGAGCTTCTCTGCCCAATTAATTTGTTGTCCACACTTATTAAACTATGTAGCTTCTACCAGGAATAATGAAAGAGGACCTTGTAAAATATAGAAAACTTCCATATACCTGTTTATTGGTCCAATCTACTACTACTGGTATCTATTTTGACTGGCAATGGTTGTCCAGGGTTTTGAGCTAAAAGAGATCCTTCAGATCCTGCTATCTGAAATTTTAATTAAAAACCAGAAATCAAATGTAGGACTCTCTGTGTAAAATGCTTATGCTCTTCTGCTAAGCTATGAACTCTTCCCAAAGGAAGGAATATTTAAAAAGGCATTATATCATGATTCCTTCTCTCAATACAGAGAGAAAATGTTGTCACTCAGAATAATATCATAAAGAGGGGCATTTTTATCTGAAACTAAATTTCATTTAACTTGTTGGAATTTGAAAAAAACATGTTTTGCATTTGATTATTAACTGGATAATCTTTTTTTTTCTGGAACTGAAACATTAGAAACAATATCAGTAGGTCAGAAACTTGTAGCAGCTTTATTAAATTGTTGGTCAACTACAATAAACCTAAACCTAAAGTTTGTAGCAGCTCTATTAATTTGATGGTCAACTGCAATAAACCTAACCTAATTGATCAAGAGCTTACATGCCAAGAATATATACTGCAGTTATGTGCTTGCTTATATGAAGTACTGTGTGTATTTATCCCAAGAATTAAAGTTACATCAAGATTGTAATAAAAGATTTAGTGTAAATAGAAACATAAAAGGACAACCACATTAAGCATTTTTGCTGTAGACATGATCTGGCACACTTTACCAATCATTTAGCTGATGATGTGGTTTGGAGCTAGGATCTGCTCAGTTTGCTGCTTTAGGCTCCTGCAGGCATATCTCTTTTCTCTAGTTATTGTGAGTTGCTCTCCACGGCCATTTTGGAATGGGTGGCATATGCCTGCCTTCTGCAGTCATCTTCCCTTGGAATATTTAACTGGAGTTTCTGAAGAGCTGATCTTAAAAACATGCACCTAGCATGCTTCTAAAAGAGCTGTAGACCTGATTTTTAAACAAGATTACAATTCTTTTGAAAGAGTAAACAGACAGTTGGGTGTGTCCTGCCAGTAGGGGCTCTGAAGGTGTTCTTCTGCTACACTGGATAAGGATTTTATATAGCTGTATTTTTTACTCTTTATTTTCATCATTATTTTTGAGGAACAATTCAACTTCCTCCTGACAGGTGAATGTTCCCAGGGCCAAAGTTATATAGTAGTAATTCCTTCATATGTAACTCCAGTTACTTATGTTGCCTTTGGGAGGGACAATATCTTTTGTATAGTTCATTCTGATTTTGGTGACACTAAATGCTATGGTAACTGTTTGGTGACACTAAATACTATGGGAAGCAAAATGACAAAATTTCAGAAGTCTACTCCGGCACATAGATTCTGCATGATCATCCCCCAGCTACTTTCTGGTATTGCTAATTCTGAGGCTAGAATATACTACCATTCTCTTGCAGCACTAGTTATGGGATCAGGGCCTCCCATTTCATCCCATATGCCCATCTGTGCTTTTATCTATGATTTGCTGTTTTTTTTTTTTAAAGGATTAATGCTGTTTCAAAAGAGCATCATTTCTGCCCACAAAACAGCCTGCTATATACTATCAAATATTTCACCCCTCTGCTTCTCCTCTGTGCTGTTACCATTCAATCTTTTAGAACCCAGCTTTAGCCATACACAGAAATTAGCTGTAGATCCTAAAGCTGTTAGCTTTAGGATAGCTAACAGGCAGAAAAGGTTATGGGGACACTCTCTGGAGGAACCCTCCCACTAATTGCTAATCCCACTGTTCTAAACTTGTCCCATATTGGGGATCAGGATGGGTGAGAGAGACGGTTACATACTTGGTGGGCGTGAGATGAATTTGCAGGATCTACCATTTCTGTTCCCTTCTTTGGCCACAATAATTAAGGACTTCATCAATTAATGGCCTCATTACTGCAGCAGAATGAGAATCAGCAATGGGGGCAGCACAGTTTATTCTAGCATACTTTTCTGCCAGCTCAAGGGATGTTGGATGATGCTTTCATACAACTTTGAGGGAGAGCTGTGTAGACATGAAACAGGTGGGCCTATTTTAGCCCAATCAAAATCTAAATTTATGGACATAGTGCAGGGGGGTCAAACTGCCGGCCCGCAGGCAGTATGCATCCTACCAAAACTGCACCCACCCCATTGCCGGCAACAGAAAAAAAGTCGTGATACGTCGCAACACATCATGTGACGTTGCGAGTTTGACACCCCTGACATAGTGGTTTCACAAATTACTTAAAAGATACAGATACTTCAATCCCAGCAGAAAATTACAAGGTTTTATCAACAATCACATCAGCATATTTTTAGTAGGTTAATAGGGACAATCTACACATTTGGTGTACAGTGCTGTTGGTTACATTCTATCTAACCTACCTTACAATAGCTCAAGTGAAAACAGGAAAAAAATGATATGAAAAACAAGCTCTGTTTTGTTCCAGGCTGACTTAAAATAGGAGGCATTTTTTCCAACTACACAAGTATACTTTTCATTCCTCCCTTTTTGAATATTTGTCTCTACAAGTACATATTTCATAATTATCAAGGTAATATCACTCAGTCGAGATCAGCTAAATATCTTCAGGCACATAAGTAGGTTATCATTTTATAATGATCATTTTCTTCAGCTTTAATATATAGCTTTTTAATTATTTAGCTAAGAAGAAATGCACACCTGGGTTAAAATTTAGCAACCTGATGAATCTTGGGAGAAAGAAGTCTGCCTCCATGGACAGTCCAGAAAGATCTCTGGATACTTGCAGTAAGTAACTTTTATGAAATGCACATACTTTTATATGTTTATTTGAATTGCTGCCACCTTCAGGGAAGACAATCCCAGAGAATGATGCAAAAGAGAACTTTAATATATCCATTGTGACTGGAAAATAATAGAAGGCACGGGAAATAATAGAAAGTGCTCTTTTAGGTCTTGTAAAAATCCATAGAATGTACAGTAATACATTTGGGAGAATTCTCCGAGTCACTCTAAACTTTGTTGTAACAAAATATCCAGATTCTTCTTCTTGTTTTTGCTCAAAATGTAATCCAAAATCAAATTTTGACCACTGAGCCATAAGTTATTTACATAGCATAGGTTGTATTTGATTGGGGGATGAAAGATGGGTGATGAGGGCTGTTCTGCTATCAATTAATTAATTAGTTACAGTATATGCTTTTTAATATCAGAATTTGTATCTCAGTTTGCATGATTGTTTCATTAACATGTTCATTATGTTGTAGGGTTGGAAGTAGTCTTAGAGGCCTTTTAGTTTTTAGCACCTTGCACTGGGCAAGAAAGTTATTTATGTCAGCATGTTCTTATCCACTGATAACATATCATCTCTGGAGGGGATTGAAAGAGTATTCTGGGCTCCATTAAGAAGGAAAATATGATTAAAACAACATTTCTTTCTTCACAGCATATTTAAACGTACTAGTGAACAGCCAATGGAAATCCTACTGGTGCCATGTGAAGGATGGCCAGCTCCACTTCTACCAGGACAAAAACAGAAACAAAACAGCTCAACAGCCTTTGAATTTGGTGGGCTGTGAAATCATCCCAGACCCAAGCCCTGACCACATCTACTCATTTCGTATCCTGCACAATGGTGAAGAATTGGCCACGTTAGAGGTATGGATGTCATTCTCTCCAGAAGCTGGTAAACACAGCTTAGTAGCCATTGAGCTTCCTTTAAATGACTTATGTTACCTATCCAAAGCTTATTTCATTGAATTGCATAAAAACATAATACAGAAAGCACAAGAGAGAGCAAAATGAACTTTTAATTTGTTTTCCTTACATTTCAGCCAAATTAATCCAAAAGGTAAACTTATGGTGAGAAAATAATACCTGTAATTAAAATAGTAGCTATAATGTAATTTTAAACAGCAGGAAGATAACGCTAGCAATAAGTCTCCAACATTTGACTTCCCAGAAAGAGATGCTGGGCACAACAGTATAGAACCATTTTTCTCCTTAAGGACTATTCCTTTGGAGAAAATAATCTTTGGATTACGATACTGGTATAACAACAGGGTCAAAATTTACAATAAGCGGGACTCTTAATGTCCTTTTTTCCTTATTCTCCCCTTACTTCCTTCTTTGCTGGGTTCATTGGCTTCCTAGATGACCCTGCTTTTAAAGTCTACAGAAATCTTAAGCTTTTTTCATTGATTGACCCTGTATGTTTCCACTCTATATTTGGCAATGCTTAAAATAATAGGCATGTTGTTAGAACTGTAACAAAAAAATATGTTGAGCACTACATCAGCAGTTTTATAGTTCAATAAGTCAACGGTGCATTCAAAAATAAAAAATTTTGAAGCGCTTCAAATGATTCTTTGCCCAGGACCTTTTGTTCTACCTCCCACTATCACTTTTTAGTGTTTTTTTATTTTTTAAAAAAGTTCAGGCTAAGGGCCCAATTTCTTTTCTTCGTATTGACTGTTTCCACCCTAGTTCCACTTCCAAATGGCATATTCTCTCTCTTACTCATGCCTACAAACACACATAGGAAAGAAAGTACTTTAAATTTATAACATAGGAATGATATTGTGAGGTCAAGAATACTGGAGGCAAGGGGAAAAAAGGAACAAGAAAGTAAAAAAAACTGTGGGAGTATCTAAAATTAGGCCAAGGTTTGCAGGCTGTTCACAGATTGCAAGTGCTCCACCCTGCAATATAATGTGTCGTTAGCTGGTGCAGTTTTACCTTATGCACACATAAAAACAATTTGTGACATTGAATACTGTCAGCAATATTTACTCCCCCCCTCCCCACTTCTAGAGTTCTGCCCAAAGTATTATACTATCTACATTATATATGGTGATGTATAGTATAAATTCAAATTTTATCTTTTAATTCTAATCTTGTAACTTCCTTTTTTTTGAATGCACAAGTAATAAATGCAATTTTAAATATAACTCAAGGGAGTTTATAGGAGTTTAATTTCTCCTGGAGGAAAAGTTGATTTCAAAAACAAGTTGCTTACCTCTATTACTTTCACTCAAGAGGTGTTTTTTTTTTGTTTTTTTTTTGTTTTGCTAATCTTAGATTTTCTGACATCAGCAACATTTGAGTAGGAGGAGGAAAATGTGACAAATTTCCTGCATTTTGTAGTGGGAGGAATATTTTCAGCTAAGGGTAGGATTGCCAGAGACTCTGAGTATTGTTTTGTTTTTAGCAGACAAATTGCTGAATGTGATGGAACCAGAATAAGGATGACTTCAACAGTCATTTCAAACTAGATTCATTCACCAAGTTAATGTGCCATACAGATTCAGCAGTTTAGTTCAAGGGAACTAGAAATTATAAAATTGTTTTTCATTTTTCATGCTGCTTACTGAATATAGGCATCCATAGGCTCACGCAAAACCTTTTTACTTATGGGTGTTATCTGACATCAGAATACAAATACAAAAACCTGGAGTCTGTAACATGTTCCATGTTGCAGCATTTTTTTCCCCTCGATTGTAGAGAACGCATGTGGTGCTTTCCTTCATGTTTCACCACCAAATTTCAGTATTTATTTTAGGACCCATCTAGTACAGAAATATTTAGAACATCAAATTGGTGCCACCTTCTGGGAGGAAAAGAGAAAGATCTTTAGATGAAATGCTTTTTTGAAATTCTGGCATATTTATTCCGCCTGGGCAACTAAACTCTCATTTATTATTCAGGACAAATCCTACCTTGAATATAAAATTTTCACAAATATTTAAATAATTAAATGCTTATATGGGTGTGTGAATTATTGAATTTCAAGCACATGATTTCCTTTCCATGGGATCTGGGCAGAACATAATTTCCTCACTTTCACCCTAATTCTGTCTTCTCTTAAGTAAGGACTCTTTGAACAATGAGCAAATTTGTGTGTTCACCCTATTCAGCCAAATAGTTCAACACTTCAGAAAATATTTTTGGGGCATTGATGAGTGGATAAAGGTACAAAATTTGTTTTTGGTTCTGCTTACTTCTAATGTTTTTTTAGATCCAAGCCGTTAGATTAGAACAGTCCATTGATTAGAGATTCACTAAACCACTGATTAGAAGAGATTTGTACCATAAGTATAATTGTTGGCTTTGTTTTCATTTATTTAATAGACAAAATCTTCTGAAGAAATGGGTCACTGGCTTGGTGTCCTTTTGTCAGAATCTGGATCTAAAACAGATCCTGAGGAGCTTACTTACGATTACGTTGATGCTGACCGAATTTCCTGTATTGTCTCTGCAGCAAAAAACTCATTATTGTAAGTTACTATACTAGCATGTTTGCCATTCAGAATCTGTTTTCTTTTGGTGGTTTCCTAGTATATCTGTTGACTCTGCTAAACAAGTATTTGGGATTTTTTTGTTTTTTTACTTGAAAATAAACAGTACTATGTAAATATAGCCCATATATGATGCATTCAAACAAAATTGGCATACTAAAAGAAAGAAAATATCTGAATGATTAGTTTCCATATTATGTTCCCAAAAGGCAACCTTTGAGTGAAGATTTCATCCCTGAAAAGAGTGAGTGGACAGGAGGAAAATCCTAATTTCCCACTGTTTTAAGGAAAGTATGTGGGGAAAACAAATGAATGAAAATAGAAATTATTGTATTTCAAATAAATACAACAATTGTATTTATCTCATTTACTTATTTGATTTCTGTAGCCACCCATTTCTTTAACTTTCCAACCTGAAGCCCACCAAATATTTTGAGACTGAAACATTTGGAATCAAAATTAAAATTCTTGGGAAATTGTAGTGGACCCCTTGTTGCATGATTACACAGGTGTGTGACATACTTGGTCTCTTGCTGATAGGAATCAGTGTTTTGCGCTTTGTTGTACATTGCTTCATTGGACTCTTACATGGGAACTGCTTCATTGGACTTGGGTGTCTGGTAGAAGATGAAGTCAGGAGCAGTTGCCACACCCAAAGATAGACAGTAACTGTCAGGATCTAAGAGCTGTTACTGCTGGTGATGTTTTGAAACCCTATGATAGCATGTTTGCTTTCATGTTTTTCAGCTTAATGCAAAGAAAGCACTCTGAACCCAACACTTACATTGACAACCTGCCAAAGAGAATGGGGAACCAAGAAGAACTCTATGATGATGTGGACATTCCAGAGGCCACCATGGTGAGGTTTTTGCAGAATTGGCCAGTTTGTTTATCATTCTAAGCAGTAATATTGAAATTTGGGAGGGGGGTTGCTAAGTGATTTTTTTTGTCAGTAATATTTAAAGAGAATTGTGCTGGATTGCTATTATACAGTCATGAATGAATGTAAATCCATTCATTCATGACTGTATAATTATGTGTAACAGTGTTGAATTCAGGCTGTCAAGTAGAAATTTGCATTTAAGGAAACAGAATTTGTTTCCTTAAATGGAATTATTATTTGGAACATGCCTTCTTTTATAGGATCCTGTGCCTCCAAATGGAAGTAAATGTGAAGGGGAACAGGACAGAGTCTATCTAGACCTCACTCCAATGAAATCCTTGCTGCACGGAGCTGGCTCAAAGCAGGGTCAGGCTACTCCTTCAGTGTCTCCTCCTTTACAAAGATCTATGAGCAAGAGCTCAGTGGACTTTGAAAAAGACTCAGCCATGGTGCAAAAAGAACCAGAACTAAACAGAAGTGCAATGGAAATTCCAGAACAGGTACTACACTACAACAAAGTTTTATTCTTACAATGCTCTTCCCTTGACTGACACATTCCACACACACTGCATCGGCAGTTCCCAATATTTTTAATAGTATGGACATCTGGAATGATAGAAATTGAAATACAAAAGTAATAAAATGTTATACAAAGGTAATGGGAAATGCATCTGCTTAAAGCTTTGGATAGCCATTGTCAGAGAGAGATCAATCTAATACTAGTTTCCCTTTCCAGTTTCCCTATAATAATAACTCTGTGAGGTGGCTTGGGCTGAGAGAGAGTGACTGTCTCATCCAGCTGGCTTTAATGCTTAAGGCAGGACTAGAACTTACAGTCTCCTGGTTTCTAGACTGACCTTTAACCACTAGACCAAAGTGGCTCTTCTCATCTTTTTTCTCAAACAGAGGCCTTCAGACATAGATGAACTGCCATCTCCATGGACAGGTACAATAAAAATCCAGACACAACAGCAGCAAATTATATTTCCTCAGAGTGACCCCACTGTGGTAATGGCTGCACCAAAGGAAAAAACAGAAAAGCTCAAAGTGGTGAATACAGGTAGGTATGGTGACCGCAATACTAGCTCCTTAGTTCAGGTTTTTATGATGCAGGTGGATTATCTCTATTTATGGCCACACTGTGTTAAGTCATACTGTATATCTGCGGTATACCTATAGGCTAATTGTTAGCAAGAATTTAGTGAACAGTAGGCTAATTTGGGGCATCTTTTATTATTTCTCTGATACCTTCTTAATGTACTAAACTTTCTCCCTCTTGCATGACAACAGGCCAGGACAGAGTAGTGCCTAATGGTTACAGAAGGCTTTTGTAGTCAGGTCAGTTTTTTGGGTCTGAGCACTTCAAGTAGCTGAGTAGATAAATGTAGATCTGCTGTTACTCTTTTTTCAATTGTATTTGACATTTGTATCAGTGTTTGTATTTTTTGTCACTGGAAAAGATCCTTCACTAAGAGAGTGTAAACTAAATTCACAGCCCCTGTAGAAACAAAACTAGGCAAGAACAGGACAGAGGCTGAAGTAAAGAGATATTCAGAGGAGAGAGACCGTTTGGAGAAAGATAAAGAAGAAATCCGCTCTCAGCTGGCAAAGCTTCGAAAAGAGAAAAGGGAGTTGAAAGAGATTCTGATGAATTGCTCAGGTAAACTTCCATTACCCATCTTATTTTCACTCCCTGGTGCCTGGCATAGAGCAGGCAATCATTTTTAAGCATTAAGTGATGTGATTGTGTTTTATGAGACTGCTGGATGATGGCCGAGTTACCAGCAGGTTCTTGCCCTATTTGATGTTGCTTCTTCTTCAGAAGCTTCATATAATCTTCTGGAGAACAACAGATCCACTATTTGGATTCATTTGATAAGTAGCTCTTCTTTTCTCCACAATTGTCCCTAAACTTTCTCTCTTGGAAGAATGTAATGGTCCAAAGAGTGGCCATATATATATATGAGAGAGAGAGAGAGAGAGAGAGAGAGAGAGAGAGAGAGAGAGAGAGAGAGAGAGAGAGAGAGAGAGAGAGAGAAAGATGACATGGATAAATGATAGCATTTTCTATATCTCTACTCTTTCCTTGGCAGATAAGAATAAATTGTCTACAATGGAACAGAAGCTAAAAGAGATAGAAGAAGAGTGTAAGAGGAAAGAAGATCAGCGGGTTGACTTGGAGCTGAGACTTGTTGAAGCAAAAGAGAATCTCAGGAAAGCAGAGTCTGGTCCAGTTACACTTGGCACCACAGTGGATACCACTCACATGGAAAATGCAAGTCCCAAAGTATGTAGCATGTCACTTTGAGAAGTGGTAGGATGCTTGTCAACAACTTGTTCATATATATGTGGGGCAAGAGTTTTGTGATTGAATCTTTTCTCATACTTTAAAAAATGTAATAGTTAACAGTATAGGCCTTCAATTCACCAGAAGACCCTGAGGACAAAGCCTGAGCTCTTGCTTCACTGATATTGTAAAACATGCAATATCCATGTGGCTCAATAGTACTTTGGCCAAACTTGGAAAGAATTCTGGCTTCATTCTTGCTACATGAAAGCAAAACACCAGAATAAGTTTCAATAAATTGCCAAGATCAAAGGCAACATTAATTTATATTCGCCTCCCACATATCCACAATCAGAAGATTCCATGAACTCTGATATGCAACTGATAAAATGTACAATTAAAATAGTAAAGTTCCTATTGTCACTATTCTCTTTCCCCCTTAAATATAGATGAAAGTTGCTAATCCTACGAATAATCCAGAAAATTCACCTGTCAATTCAGCAGTGGCATTAAAAAACCGCCCTTTATCTGTCATGGTCACAGGGAAAGGAACAGTTTTGCAGAAAGCAAAGGTAAGGCATCTAGGAAGCATAATCACTGGAATTATGTAGCAAAACAAAAAACAAAACCCACCAAATTAGCATTTGGGGTTTGGTTGGTCATTGCAGTTGGTAATAGCACCTGGATGGGAGATCATCAGGAAATATCAGGTCTGTAGATTAAATAAAGAAATAAACAAAAACACTGTAGAAAGTAATTGCAACTACACAATATAATGAGCACTTTTTTGTTCCTTTTCTTTTCAGGAATGGGAAAAGAAAGGTGCTAGTTAGGAAATCCTAGCCTCAAGAACAGACTGAAGATTCAAACTGGCTCTTTGTGGACTACAGAAGCCTACTGCCAGTAGCAAAAATGTCCAGAAGAACAGAGCATGGCAAGTGGGGAACTGTAACATACTGTCTGGAAGAAACAATGGACCTTGGCCAGATGCCAGTGTGGCCTCCCTTAGACTAAGGCTGTTGCTCCTTTTAGCAAACTTGCACTGTGTAGATAGGACAGATAACCCAAATGGAAACAGTACTTCTAACCTTACTGGTATCCTGAAACTGTTGCTGTACATAAGGAAGCTTTTGTCTACTTTTAGTATGGTGTTTTATCGCTGCACAGTCTAGGATTTGTTGTTAAATGACTTTTAGTTGGACATGTTTAATATTTCTGTAGCATACCAAGGCATGGCAGGAGACAGAGGAGGGAAAGTTGAGCCTCACACCAGTCATTTCTTTAGGAGAGATGTTTTCCTAACCAATGATGCAAATTTGAATGACACTTCTGTGGAATTGCAATTAAATGCAGCTGTTCTGCCCAATGCAACATCCACCTGAGAAAGGTTTAGGTGCTCAAGTTTGAACATTCAGCTGGCACACCAGGCTTATTCAGATGCCCTAATTTCAGATATAGTGAGCTATTGCTCAGCATAGTGATATTATATAATCCATGGATTTAAACATGCCATTTATTTTATTAAGGGAGCCAGTATGGTGTAATGGTTAAGGCATCAGGCTAGAAATTAGAGGACTGTGAGTCCTAACCTTGCCTTAGGCATAAGTCCAGCTGGGTAACCTTGGGCCAGTCACTCTCTCACAGCCCTAGGAAGGAAGCAATGGTATAACACAGATGAGTTCATTCTTTAAACACCTGTAGTTGCACACATTTAAAGATGATTCACAATGTAATATGTAAAATGTGTCTAAGGCAAGGGATGATTCCACTGCACTTCAGGGACATTGATACTTCAGGATAGGAACTAAGCATCTCTTTGTATTCTCTGAGTCAGTTTCACTGCAGGAATTAATCTAAACACATAGACATGATTTGGGAGAGAAAGGAATTTCACCCACCCTTGAAAGGCATTTTATTACTCTTTTTAATAAACAAAGTTCAATTAGAGCAAAGTAGCAAGAGTCTTGTAACTATATTGCTGCCTGAAGGGAAGAACTACAAGGAGCCTTTCCACCCTGCAGAAAAACCAAATGCTGACATGTTGCTAAATAACTCTGATGGCAGTAAATTAGCTTAGGAGGCATATAGTGAGCATATGTGGAGACATACAGCATTATCTCTTCTACTCCTTCCACTATATACCTCCAGGGTCTGCTGTTTCACTGTACAATACGGAAGCTGGACTCACAATGCAGGAGTTGATGTATTAAGCTCAGGAAATACAACAGAAATTCTCATAAAGTTAGCATGGATTCTTCACCAAACATACCAGCTTCTATATTGTATTCTTGAATAGAAGTAATTTTTCATGATTAGATATATATGAACAGAAAACATCACTGTTAAGTAGCTATTGTCAAGAAAGTACTGAAACTGTTTAGTGGGCTTGGTATCTGAGCACCATTCCAGACAATCATGATACTGTGCAATAGGTATGCATCTTAATTATTTGCTTATTGCAGGAACCCATTATGGGTTCCCATTATGATGGGCCAAAACCGTTGCCTTGGCAACAAACGCATCTTTACCACAAAGAAAATATCCAGGCAACTTGGCAACATTGTGGACTTCAACTCCCAGAATTCCCCAGACAGCCACAGAACTTAAAGTTGTCAAGGTTGGACACCATTGCTTTAGATAATACTTATATTGATAGATGTTTCAATACTGATTGGCTAGCATTCATGAAGTCAGTGACAACCTTATTGCTCTACCTGTGCCTGGCTTATTTTACAGCATCTTAGTCAGAGCTCTCTCTCTTCTGAACCACATATATAGGCTGCTCCACCCATCAGAAGCCCTTTTCTCATATGGGTATGCAACTTCAGTTCTAAGAATAAATCTAGCTTATCATATATAGTATTTATTTTTTGGCATCTAGAACTCAAATGCCTCTTGTTGGATTACATCAGGAAATAGACTGAAAAAGTGGGTGATCAGTCAGGATTAGCAGCAGAAATAAATCTCTAGAAATCTTCAACTGTGTAAAACCCTGTGTTGTTCTTTGATACCCTCAATGCACACAAATGTAAATGCTGCAGTTGTTTAAGGACTTTGTCATATTCAAGTAAGAACATCTCTTAGGTTTGCAGGCCAAAGATTATCTAAGGCTATCTAAGGCTGTGTATTAATATATGAGAGTGGCATTTTATAGACTTAAAGGATTGCAGGACTGTTTGAAAAAAGGACCTTGTGTACAACTGGCTGAAGAGAGGCAAGCAATTCATTAATGAAATCTAAGCCTGCTCCTCTACTGTATATCGGCCTTCAGTGCCAGTAAATGATGTCTATACACCATGTCAGTGTGGGCAAATGTTGATGTGTTAGAGTGAGAATGAGTTTAAAAGCTGGCAACCTTTGAAGTCCTGATAACCAGAAGCATCAATAGAAAAGGTACTAGAGGAGTAGCAACTGACTCATTTACTCAGTTCAAATAAAGTTGTGTGTTTCAACCAAAGTACTATGGCTGATGGTATCAGCCAAAACATAGGAATTCAACATCAGATCCAAAGCCTTCCTTTAAATAACCATAGAACTGTTATTATGTTCCTAGCTTTTTTAAAAAAACAACTTTATTGTACAAGTGTCTTTTTAGTCAATTGCCATATCAGATGAATCATTTCTAAATAAAAGTGTTGGCTGTATTTTAAATGTGTTGTTTGTTTTTCTGATCATTACATTGTCGAGACAGGGAAGTAGCTAACAGTGTCCACTGAATGTCTGGTTTTATCTAAGCCTACAAAGTTGAACTTTTCAACTTTCTACAAGGAACAGTTATTAATCTATTCCAAAATCCTCACATTCTTTTATCTGCATTCATATGGTATGATGTGTTCTTGTCCTGCAGGGGACACCCTTGTAGTATTTTTTGATAGGATGCATTAATAATGAACTTTTACTGAATATAAAAAGATTCAAGGATTCTTGAGATACATGAATTATATAGAAAAGAAAAATGCTAATTCAGAGTAGCCTGAGAAACTTTACACTAAAAATTCATACTTCAAGACAGTGATTTTAACAGGCATAGGCTGATACATAGTTTCCCTATTCACAAGATGGCAACTATAAAGTGCTCCATACTTGTTATTGTTTAATAGCTACAGTACTAGTTCCATTGTTAATAATCAGCCCATATCATAGATAAACTGGCGGGGAGGGGGTTGTAATCTGCAGTTCTGACATGCAAAACTTTCTTATGGGAAACTTAACACTCCAAAAGCCAAATTGTCATTGCCATGTCAAATAAAGAAATAAACTCCCAAAGTTTCTGGGAGGGTTCATCATAATCCAATGTTTGTTAAGCAAGGACTACCTGTAACCATAGTATTATGACCACAGTTTGGAGTGCACTTCATGGCACAATATTTTCATGGCCACGTTCAGAGCCATTTCCAGTCATCACGGAGAGTGCCATCTTCACCTCATATTTCAAATCCTGCAAGACTCCAGAGTTGATTCACGACTGCTTCCTTTTGTTGGCTCCATGGAAGCTACAAAACCTGTGCTAACCTGTCCTATTCTAAAGTAGCTGGCCCTCACTCCTGTGAAAAGAAAGCTTTGTTTGCCACTCCAGCACACAACAGAGAAAAATGTGTCATCTCTTCATTTCAGGTAACAAATGATCTCAGTGTGAACCTGCTTCAATTCATTAATGTACACATTTTCTAATCAAGGTATGAGTAACCCAGTTGGGTAATTCAAACCTTGATTAGAAAATGTGTACATGAAGAGTACATGAATATGCATGTACTCTTCATGAATAAGAGTACATGAAGTGCAATATTGGACGGAACCACGGCCCTGCTCCAGTGAGACAGAGAGGGACTTGGTATGAAATGAGTACAAGAAATAACTTTTTGCCAGCTTGAAACCCAACTTGCTTTCTCTCAGCTCCAGCCATTTTGTATTCACTCCTAATGTTATTATCCCGCATCAACATATTTTTTTAAAAAAAAACAATTAAGGTTGTCTTACCACACAGTGGACCCACATATCAAATGACTGCAGCATGTTAAATATTTATTAAACATACCAACATGAATTGCTGACGCTTTTGATCTGCAAAAGGGTCGATCAAGCAAAAATAACTCTATTTTTATTCCCACATAAAGGAAATTCAATAAGTGGAGAAGAGAAACACCTTCAGAATCAGCAGAAAAGAACACTGAAAGCTTAGCAGTTGCATTTTTGAACCACATAAAATCTTCATTGGGTTGCTTGTAGAACAAGAGGCAGAATTTTATGAATAATGCCAGTTCTATAATAAAAGAAAGCCTGCCAGATGGATACACTGCTCAGCTAACTTAGGCTGAAATCATAAAACCTTTTAGTGGTGAGTAAACCTACGCTGATGGGATTTACTTTAGAGCAGACACAAATAGGATTGCAGGGCTACATAGCAAACTATCCAGGGAGCTCTAAATAGATTGGCAGCAACAGCAAAATGACTTCCCTTCCAGATAATTCTCGGAGGATTTTCTTGCCAAATAATGTTCATAATACAGTATTTCTCTCAATCCCTTCCCATCACTGCTCCAATTCTAAATCACCCGTACTTATATGTTTTGCACTAAATCAGTCTTTCTTAATTTGACCACTTTCTGAATATTCTTCAGTGAAATTAGGGAATTCAGTACTGTAGCCACTACATTGTATCAGGCAAAAGCTTTAGCGCTTTTATCTGGGGCAGCTATGGGACTATATTCTAGCTTTAATCTCTTGGGATCTGTTCAGTCAAGATTCTAGAAATAACTTTTTGAAGCTTGATACTTCAAATGCATCTCAAATGCACCTCTTGGGCTTGAAGGAGAGCACATCAGAGTTAAGAAACTGGCTAGCAATATTTAATTATTGGTTTAAAATTATCTATCTGCCCACTGAGCTGCATTCTGTTTCCTAGTGATACTTTGCCCATTTTTTTTCTAAGGACCAAAAAGAATGAATCAAAGAGGCATGGCTGTCTACATTTTCTCCCTGACTTATTCCAACTATCAAAGCTCTTCTTTCAGCACTGTTAAGGAAAGATATTACAGACTCCCTGTGGCTCTTCATATATGCCCTTGTAGCATGCAAGGAGAATCAATAATGTATGTTCTTTTATACTGCAGTTTAATGCAACATTGTATTAGGATTTTAGTTTTCCCCCTTCTAGCAACAATACCTGGAAAAGCAATCAGCCAGTTATCATGTTTATTTCCCACTCACTGATCAGGTTTTTATATAACCTACAATGTTGGAAAGCTTTGTAATCTAGCATCAAGGCTTTGGCAGGGGGTCCACAGTAAGATTTTAGAGAGATTCTTGTATAGGCTTATTTATTTTGACTCTCTTTTTTTATTTCAGCTTTATTTGCTAGCCACAATAAGTAAACATAGATTGGTTTACTATAATTTTGGATGAGGGTGGAAGCCAACGTAGATGATTTTAAAAATGGGAATAGACAAATTCATGGAGAATGTATCAATATTACTACAATTTCACAATAATCTACCATCTTTGATGTTGCAGACAGTGCGTATCAATTGCTAGAAAGGAACAATGGAAGAGTATTATATCCATATTTTTATGCTTGAAAGTTACTTCTAATCAGTTTTGGATTGCTATATGTATTGCTTTGGGGCAATACAACCCTTCTTCTCTAACTGATTGATTAGATGATAGATAATATTTTCAATAAAAGCATAGGACTTAATGAAACCATAAGAACAGGAGGTAGCCACGGATACATCCTTTTGCAGTTAATGGTAAACTTGGCATGGCTCCAAAATCGCAAGAAATGGTTGGAAATGGGAGTCCAAAATATTCCTGCTTTGATCAAAGGGATAGAATTTCCTAATTAAAGAAGAAAACTAAAGAAATCAGGACGAAAGAATGGAACAGCCATGTAAAAACATGGATACAAACTATTATCTTTGGTGAATGATGGTGGGTTTTCCAATCTCTAAAATCTTATATAAACCAGTAGATCTGGAAGTCATTTAAGGGTAAAATGTGCCTTAATCATATTCATTCTATATATTTGGAAACAAAATTAGGTTTCACAAAATCAAATCTGGGTAAGTATTGTGTATGAAAGCTTCTCATCCCTTATAGTCATATTAACAACATAAGTATATATTTTGTAAGTCATATTAGAGCTTGTCAAGTTGTACCACTCTTAAACCTCGGATTTATGGCAGCATTATATAGAGATAATGCTACTTCTGTTAAAAAATAGTATATCAAACATAAATATGCAATATAAAAATATGCTAGATATTAGTCACCTTAGTTCCGATTAAATAAGATACTTTTGTGCAAAACTTTTGTTCTTAGAAACAGCATATTACTCGCAAATATACATTTCACTTCCCCAATAAGTATGATTTCAGTAACTAAAGGCAAAAGTTCTTTTGTCTGTTTTAGTGCATTTAGTCCATGGGTCTTCTTTTTTTTAATACTGGTGAATTCTGTATAGCAACCCCAACCATCTCAATTTAGATGACTATGGATCATGGCAGAATGTTTCCATGATTGTGAAGTGTCACTGCTTTGCATTCCTATATTTTAAAAAAAGGAAAAGTAAAGTCAATTATTAGTTCTCCCAGCAAAGTACTGAGTACCTATTCTTTTATGCATTCACAACTAATTAATTTATAAGCAAAATATAGGTTACAAGATCTATTAGGAGCCTTAAGAGTGCTTTAGAGAGACATGAATTCTAACAGAAGAGAATATTTATAGCTCTGTGATACTTGGTGATCTCTGAGCACACAGATGATGTTACCTTGTTGGGTAATGAATCTGCAAGAAAACATCTAAGCTCAGAAAGCTCAGAGAGCACTAAGGTCCCCACATGACTTCAGGTATGCAAAACTGAGCTCTTTTGGGATCAAGTCTTTAAAGTATTAAGAACCATCTTTACTAGAATAATAAGGCATAGCTAGTATGAAACAGATATTCAGAGTCATCAGCTTTCAATCATCAGTCACCTAAGAGATGCCCTTGAGTTTCCAAGGCTCTTCAGAGCTAGTGCATTCTTCACAGACAGAACAAACTTGCTTGCCAGATGCATTTGCAGAAATTCTGCTGCTCAGCAAAACTAAATGACAATCAGCCAATTGTTGGTATTTTATATTGTTATTAAGTTAGCACACCTACTCTTTTGGAATAAAACCAGCAAGATCTGAGCAAAACAAATACAATTAAAATCAAGTCATGTAGGCTTTAAGGGACATTATTAATTGTACCATTTTATTATGCAACATTAAATACAGTATTACATTTTTACCTCAAACCCACAAATCCCTTTTAGAAATTAAAAACATTAGAAACGTTTAGAAATAAAAACCCATTTCCTATTTTCATAGATAGTTTCCTTCATTTTCAGTGTTACTGGGCCAAGAATGAGGTCAAACAAATAATTAAGCAAACATAAAGTATCTAAGAAAAATGCCTGCTGATCCAAGCAATACATACTGTTTTCACAATGAGGTCCTTCCCAGCCTTGGCACTGACACCAATAGTTGCCATTTTCAGGAATACAAATTCCATAATTCATGCAGGGGTTAGGTTTGCAGATATTTACTGGCATTGTGGCTTCTGTAGCAGAAAAAAAACAGAAAACCATGCTGACTATTTGGGTGCAAATAACTGTCATCTGTCAAAGCTGCATACCTGGCTTTTGTTGCATGTGTGGCAAATGGAAATCAGTGAACATGTCTTTTTGTGTTTGAAGGAGCTCCCCGGTGGGAAATTGGGTACTGAAATCAGAGCTGGCAAAATAACTAGCCAGGATCTGCAATTTACAGATTTTAAGAAAAACAGATACATTTGGAGGCTATGGGAATTAAAAATGCCTTAAAGGGCCTCAAAGAAGAAAAGTGTAGATTCTATAACAAATCAAGAGGTTTACCTTGAAGACTATTTCTTGGTGGTACCTTGGTACTCATCTGCTTTGAAACTCATTGAATTTGGTACTCAATTTGACATGGAAATTTTGTCCTGGTACTATTTGTTCGGTACTCAACACATAAGCTAGAACTTGTGTCGGCTGCCTTGGGACTCACCACACTATTCCTTATGGGAAAAACTTTGTTTGGTACTCATCATTTTTGGTACTCATCATGCTTCCCGGAATCAATTAACAATGAGTACCAAGGTACCACTATGTTGGCTTAATCCAGCCCAAAGTCAGAGCCGAAAGCAATGCTTTCTTGCTAAATAAAGTTTAGTGTTATCCTTTATTTATGGCACATTTTTCAATTTAGAATCCTTGTTTAATACCTCTCTCTTCATGAATCATTATATTACCTTCTTTCCCATGTAGGATCTATTATAGGTGGTCCTTGTTTAATGATTCAGCGACTGTTCAAACTTTCAACAGTGCTAAATGGGTGGTAATTATGACTAATCCTAGAAGTTCTGGCTGTTGCAGTGTTCTTGTAGTCAGTCACATGATCACAAACCTGGAGCTATTCAGTGGCTTGGATTTCCAACCATTGCAGCATTCCATGGTCCTATGATAGCAATTTGCAACCTTTCCTGCCAACTTCCCACAAGCAAAGTCAATGAGAAAGCTGACACAAAGTCATAAATTATATGAGGTCCTCACTTAAGTACCTGTGGTGATTCACTTAATGATGGTAATCAAGGACTGGCAGAACTGTCATTGTTAAGCAGTGCAGTCGCATGAAGCCATGCTTTACAACCTCATCTCTTAATGGTGGAAATCCTGAGCCCAAATATCATTATTAAGCAAGGACTAGCTGTCTCACCATCTACAAGTTCAATCCTATCAAGGACATCACTTCAGAAACAAAACATATTCATCTTTAACAGAATAAATTTTATCTATTTCCATAGTTATTCACTGTTTTATATTTCAGCACAATCCTAATTTACTTGAATGAAGTACAGAAGGTTTACCATTATTTTTATTTGAGGTATATTTAATAGCTATTTCAAAGTATTTTTTTGTTGGACGTGAAGAAAGTTAAAGCTGGGTCTTCTCATAAAGCATAGTAAAGTAAAAATAAAGTCAATGTTTTCAGGAGAAATGGTCTTATATTGAATTTGATGTATCTTATATTTATGTGCTGTTACACTTTTGTATTTTATTGCCTCTACTGGAAGTTTGAAGCTGATTTGATCAATTTGACTGAAAAATAAGGTCAGTTAAGAAAAAAAAATGTGGCTGTAAAACAGAAAATCAAAATATACCTTACCATCACATAATTTTTCCATGATAAAGTCTTCATTTTGTCTGAGATCTTCATAAGAAGAAATCCTCACCAGATTATTAGAAGAACCTGCAATCCTCAACAGTAAGTCCATTTGTACACTTTCCATCCCAATGATAAAAAGTGATACATCATTACTACGTAGTTGCTGGGCAGGGACTATGGCATCCTCCACTCCAGATCCACTTGTGAAGACTACCACAAGTTTTTTCACACCAGGCCTTGCTCCTTTTTGGATAACTGTGACATCATCATGAATATGAAGCAAGGCACTTCCAACTGAGGCAGAGCCACCCATAAAGGGAGCTTGTTTGATGGCTTCTTGAAGAGCTGAACTAGTAACATGTGCATCCAGTCCAAATACTGTTTGGGGCCTTTTACCAAAGGTAACAAGGCTGATTTGTGTCATATCCCTATTGATGCCAAATTGGGAAGAGAGACTGCTGACAAAGTTTTTCATCTGGGCAAAGTTAACCCTTCCAGCTGACGTTGAAGAATCCAGGGCAAAGACCAAATCCAGGGACTGAGATAGGCAGCCTGAAAAGGAAGAAGTAGTTAGCAGCCTTTGAAGAATGTGGCTCATTCGTGTGGATACTCAGTAAAGGGAATTACATTAAAGTAATGTTATAGTGGCAGGGGAAATCATCCTCTGCAGTTTCTCATTAAAAGATTGTTTCCATCAGCAAAACATAGAAAAGGTGATTTCACTTTGTTCTGTAACTGCAAACATGCACAACAATGACAAGACTTTCTATAGCAGAATTGGGATACAAATAAGGTTTTGCTCATACGTAACTTGGATTTCATCAATATTTAGGACTAGAGGTTATGAATCTAGAGATTTAGTGATAACAGAGGAAGGTGAGTTAGCAATAAAACAAAATGAAATCCATATCTCATGTGTTGCATAAGTGAGAACTAAAGCCTCAGTGAATTACAAAGCTTATTCAAAAAGTCTCTGCTATCATCACCAACTTATATCAGAGTGCAGCTGGAATAAAAGGGGAAAGGAAGGACATCGTATACCTTTCCAAATCTTTGGAACAATAGGACAAATATATAGTAATAAAGAGAATTAACTAATATTTTACTTCATTTTTTAAATCAAAAACAGCTAAAACTGTTTAAATATATCACTAATCAATAAGTGATATAGAGACAAATCTAAATTGGTCTATATCAGGGGTCCCCAACCTGTGGGCTGTGGCCCACTTCTGGGCCATGGCCTATTCACAACTGGGCCATGAGAATGGTGGGCTGGCGAGCATGCACATCCCAACTCATGTAAGCAGTGGGCACAGGCGTGCATAGCCGAACCCACTGGGGCTGCAAGCGCTGGCAGGCACTGGCACTCGCAGACCCATTCACATGAGCCATGGGCACCAGCGCAAGCAGTCGAACCCACTGGGGCTGTGAGCGCTGGCAGCACCGTCATTCACAGACCCATTCACATGAGCCATGGGCACCAGAGCAAGCAGTGGGCACAGGCGTGCACAGTCGAGCCCACTGGGGCTGTGAGTGCCGGCAGACACCAGTACTCGCAGACCCATTCATATGAGCCATGGGCACCAGCGCTCACAGACCCACTTGCATGAGCCATGTATGCGTGCGTCTACCATTCACACAAATAAAGTTATGTGCTTGCGCCTATGTGTGCGCCAGCCCCTCACACAAAACCATCCTCTCTTCCCCCCACCCCTCACGCACCGGGGTGCCAATCTGGAAAGACTGGGAAACTCTGGTCTATATGACCTCTGATTAACAACAGAAGTTGAAATTGACAACCCACACACCTTTTGACATCAATTGACATCACATACATTTTTTCAAATGCTTTAAGAAATGGCAACCTCTTTTTCATTTATTAATACAAGGTATATGTGTAGTAGCTTTGTTCCCATATTATCTCTAATGAAATATGTACAACACCCAGCAGAAGCCTAGGTGACACTGAACCAATATTGATATTGAAACAACAATTGATATGGTATCTTTAGTTTGAATTCTTACCTTGTCTATCGATGCTGCAGATTTTTCTCTGTAATTCAGTAATTTTATTGAATAGATCTTGAGTGGTGGAATAGATAATTGTCCGCTTTGGATTCCCTGTAATCTCATCCAGTTCTCTTCTTAAAAATTCACTGCCAACTCCAATGATGGAAATACCTTGTTTCCTACTGAACCTAGCTGCTTCTAGCACTGAATCTTCAGCTTTTGAATCTGTGAGCAATATGACCACACGTGGAAGATCATCAGGAACATCAGCAAAGACTGGTGCACTCTTAAAGCCACGTTGTGCAATAAATCGTAAAGCTTTGCCGGTCAAAGTGTTCCCTCCATTGAACTCCATGGAATCAATGATCTTCACTAGACTGAATATATCTCTGTAATCTCCTATTTGGGCAACCATCTTGACATCATTGCTATATTGGGCCACGGCCACATTCCCTAGAGTTTCTGTATTCCACACTACATGGAGAAACCTTTTCAGGAAAGTTTTGTAGTGCAAGAAGCCTTCAAGAGTAGTGCTGGATGAACTATCCACCAACAAAAGAATGTCCACACTGCATTCCAGATTTATATTTGGTGCTGTTTAACAAAATAAGCAAAAACTATTAGAAACCCAAAAAGAATGCAGAATAAAGTAGGATATTGTACAATCTATAGCTATAATTAAAGTATGATTTCAGGCCAGTCATCTTTTAGTTACAGAAATATTTAATCACAAAATGTAATCTAAGTAGGTGCCAGAATGAATTAAGTCTTAGTTCATTGGCAAAAATGTAATAAATTGGTGTGTGTGTGTGTGTGTGTGTGTGTGTGTAAGGCATGGGATTTCTTTGTTCAGCTGTTTATTTAGGTTACCAGATCATGAAGCACAGATGATACAAACATCTTTCAAAATTCGGTATAAATAAAAGCATTAGAATAGGTAAGCAGAGATATAATTAGAAACCATCTAAAAGAACCCCTTCAGTTTCTGTATAAATTTCCTACACAAGAGAGATTTGAAAAATGTAATTTGGATATTTCATATTAATAACTGCCACTTTCAGAATTCCTCTTTTATAATAATGTATAAATTAAACACTTCACCCAGACAAAACACCATTCTTATTGATTACGGAGGATCTGGATAAATGGTTCTATCCTATACAAGTTCTGAAAGAGGAATAGTCAGTTTTGCTTGTTCGGTGGGAAATTAAGTCAACATATCCTGATGTCTTGATCTGAAGGATGCTGGAGATGATATGATACAATATATGAAATATATGATATTTTATTTTGGGGAACATTCAGATCTGGATATCACATATGCTAATTCTTAATTTGATTTAAATCAAACTGTATAATTCTTATCCCCTTCTTTTCCTTATTAAAGAACAAATATAATAATGATTATCAGAGGTTTTGTAGAAAACTGGCTGATGTTACCAACACATTAAAAACAAGATTCCAGTCCCTAAAATAAAACAACATACCACAGTTGGAATCCCCTACAAATTCCATTGGGCAAACACAGTGGTAGCCTTCTAATCCCTGTTGAATGCAAGCGCCTCCATTCTGGCAAGGATGGGAATCACAAGGATCTAAATTCAGGAAATAGCGATAAATGAAAGCTTATTATATTTTTCCTCTTTCAATTGCAAGCAGAACTGACCTCTTAAAAAAAGCAATGCATTTCATAGTATATCTAATTAAAATCTATTAGTCCATCACCCCCATTTTGGGTCTACCCAGGCATCTCTTATAATTAAGGTAGTCCAAATAAATTCAAGAATTAAAACCCTTAGAATTATGGAACTTTGTAAGCTGTGTTTGTCTCAGTGGAATCAAGATATCATAAAGAGGTAATAAATGGATACATGTTTTGATTCATGCAGTTATTTTTATTCTAAGCATAATTTAGTTTGGTTAATAAAAGGGTAATGACTGAGGGTGGATGACTTTTCAAAATAAAAATTTGAATTATTAATTTCTTCAGTATTAATATTTCATTGGATGATTAGAAAAGCTCAAAGGAGGAGGTGTAATTTTTATCATTATAACAGTAAAAATATGTATCTTCAGTCCTGAGTTGAAAGAACATAATTTATAGAGCAATTAAGAACCTAATATACAATTCAACTGATACTGATTGATATTTTTTATAATCAAAAGAAAGCAAAAATGAAAAAATAACCATGAGGAAATCTAGTTATAAATGTTTAAATTTATCTACATGGGAGACATGTGAAATATAGTTGATAAATTGGTTCCTTCTCTCCATAGAACATTTTGGCTCTAGTAGAGGAACACCAGTGGCAGACTGGAAGAAGAGTCTACTTTTACTGATGATTGCTCCTCCAGGTGCCCTTCAATATTTATCCTTGTGTCTTTGTAGTTTGGGGATTCTCTAGAACAGTGTTTCTTAACTGTAGCAACTTGAAAATGTGTAGATTTCAATACCAGAATTCCCCTTACTTGTGGGAGAATTCTGGGAGTTGAAAGTTCATACATCTTCAAGTTACCACAATTGAGAAATATGCTCTATAACCATAGAATGCCAAACCAGAAGGAGAAAGAAATTTGTGAAAATAATCTCTTCTTTGAAGGAAACATTTAAATGTTGCTAATGGAAAAATACCTTGGATCTAACCCAATGTCTGTTAACAGATGTGCTACTTTTTTCACTCTATTATTTTTATTTTGAAGCACCCATATGTTAGTTTATAGAGATCTGGGTCTTACCTGAGCATATGGTTCGATAGCATGTAGATGGAAATTTGATGAAAATGTTCCTCCAGCTTAATTAAAGAAGTCAATATTAAACAAAATGAAATTTGGATGAGTTTGTATTTGAAAACAGTGAAGCAATGATATTTAATTAAATGATTAACAATATAATTCTATATCACTATTTAGATTTTTTAAAAACAATAAAATTCCCCAACTTTTACATCTGCATAGTTTCTGGGGAAAAACTGGAAAAGTGGAACAAAGCGTTTTTAAGAAGTGCACGCATTTAAATCTTCATAGTCTTCCAAACCCCATTCTAATCTGCACCTTATGTCCATCATACACACACGTATTGTATTTGCCAGCTTTCTTCCTGCAAACCCTTGTGAAAGACCACAGGTCAGTTTTTCAGGAGTACTTCCAATGCATCTTCTGCAGTTCACATTGGAAGCTGCTGGCTATGTGTAAGGTTTGCAGGAGGAAGGCTGGGTCAAAGGACAGTAGGGGTATGTGGCAAAAGGGCAGAGATAAGAAGGGAAGATAGGCGCACATGGAAATTGAAGCATACTGTGGTTGTAATGGTTGAGGCTGCCAAAAGTACAAGAACCAGAACTTTATATCTCCCTTGAAATCTGAAAAGGGGAAGGAAGAAGAAAAAGATGAAGACGAAGACGAAGACGAAGAAGAAGAAGAAGAAGAAGAAGAAGAAGAAGAAGAAGAAGAAGAAGAAGAAGAAGAAGAAGAAGAAGAAGAAGAAGAAGAGGGGGGAGGGAGAGGAGGAGGAAGAGGAGGAGGATCAAGGTAACTTACTTGTAAAAAGGGCAGAGTGATATGCGTACAACATTATTGCTTTGGGATCCTTTCCAGCAGAAATAGTTTCCAACCAGTTCTTTTACTCGCTCAAGTGTTTTGTGTTCACAGGGATGAGATTCAGCCCTGCAACCTGGTGCAAGAGGCAAGAATTCAGAATCAATATTGTGTGTGATGAGAAACTTAAGTATACCAAAATGGTGGCATAACAAAACTGTAGCACTTCAACCTTGCATGGATAAAACGGGTTTAATAGCTTTTTTCTGTAATGAAGAACATCAGGTAACTTCTTGGAAAACATGTTTGCCTGAATTTATGGGGAGTAACTGCCAGTCAAAACAGGTAAGATTGGGTTAGATGTCAGATAGGCTGGGCTGATCTAAAGCAATTTTTAGTGTTTGATGATTGAGCACTTTGATCCTTGGCAAGTTATTTCTCTGATTTGCAATAACGTTTTGACTGAACATTAATACATGTTTAAGTAAAGGAAAAGGATAGCTTACTGGCTCTCTTTTTTCTCTCTCTCATTATCTCCAACGTACTTATTAAGATGTGCAGGAAAAATCATTTTGAAAATATTTCCATTTGCAAACACTCACCTGTTGCCTACACAGGAAGAAACTGCAACCAGTATCTATACATGTTGTTATTTATGGTATAGCATTAACTTTCTAAAATATTTGTAATTCATTTTAATACCTAAATCTTAGAGATGGAAAGAGTCATTTAGGATTTTCAGAGCTCAATCTTCTGGTTAATAGAGGAATCCAAAGAATTGGTCTTGATTTTACTTAAATTTACCCATTAACTTAAACACACCCAATCAACTGGAACCCACTTTGAATAATTTACTTCAATGTTGAATTACTGTAACTGTTGATTTTTTTCCCCCTAATATTCAATTGGAATCTGCCTGCCTGTAACTTGAATCCAATATTCCATGTCCTGTACCTCAGAATGCAATTTTAACTCAGAATACTCCTTTATTGTGCTATGTTGCTGTTTGAATCTTTCTTAGATGCCCGAAAAGCTGTACATTTTTCTCCATCAAACAAAAAACTGTAAGAAGGTTGCAAAATATATAACACCACCATATGGAATCTATTCTTAATATTCTTTGAATGACACCAGGTAATGAGGCAATAAAAAACAATAAAAAGCTCCCTTATCCCCTATCCATCAAAGAGTCATAAAATTAATTTTATAGCCATCTAGAGTCTTCTTGAATCTGGCTATACCAAACTGACTAAAATAAATCGAGAAACAACTTTATGGAAAAAAAATGGCACAGTGAGAATATAGCTCTTAATTGAGAAATGAAAAACAAGATATAATAAAAACAGAAGGTAAGTAAATAACACTTAATTTGAGTACTTAAACTAAACTGAGGATCCAGTTCTTTGTGCTCTATTGTTTTCTTTCAGATGTTTCATTATCCAAACTAGGTAACATTATCAGTGTTAGTATCTAGCACTGATGGTGTTACATAATTTGGGTAATGAAACTTCTGCAAGAAAATAACCAAGCTCAGAGAACATCAAGGAACCATCATTTCAATCCTAAGGTACAAATATCTAAAATACCTGGAAATGCAGCACTGCAGATATCAGAGAGTGTAAGCATGGTATAAAGCCCATTGGAGGCATCATCAGTGTCTTCTGCAAACAGTGTATAGTATTCAACTGGCTCACTTGCTAGAGCATACAATTCTTCCCACCTGCACAAACGCAAATTTAGTGTAACAAAAACAACACATCACACATCCTTGCACCACAAAGCTTCCTTGTACAGAACTGAATCATTAATCCTGCTTATTTTTTTTATGAATGGCCTAATACTCTTCATTATACTACACAATTTTTGTTATTTACAATAGACAAATACGTAAACTGGTTGCATCCATTAGGCTACCTTTTTCCCAGTGGGAAGCTTCATTTCACATCTAACACCTGTTCCTGTTCTTTCTGGCTTTTTCATTGATGCAGCACATTATTTGCTGTGTCTTAGAAACATGTTTTAACCAAACTATTTGGTTTACATGTATTCCTCGACTTACCACCACAATTGGAACGGGAACTTCCATCATTGAGCAATATAGTCATTGAGTGAGTTGCACCTGATTTTAGGTCATTTGACCCAAGATCATTAAGCGAATCACCTGGTGATTTGACTTTGCCTGAGAGGTTGCAAATGGCAATCACATGATCCCAGGACACTGCCACTGTTGCAAATACTTGGCAATTGCCAAGTCCCTATATCACGATCACATGACTGCAGGGATGCTGCAAGGGTTTAAGTGCGAGGACCAATCATAAGTAACTTTTTTCAGCATGCTTGTAACTGCAAACGGTCGCTTCACAAATGGTCCTAAGTCAAGAACTTCCTCTAGAATTGCTTCTAAAATTTAGAATGAATTTTACCAGTTTTCCAACACTTCAGATTAAATTATCTGGAGATGCCAGGGAATGCACTGAAATCTTTGGCATGCAAAAGAAGTAATCAGTGACGGAGTTCTAGAAAACAAGTCCCACTATTGGTCTTCCAAACTCTCAACTGCAATAACTTCCTAAACAATGTATCCTCTTTCTGTTCTTGAAGGATGTGCAAGCCAAATCTTCTATCCACTGCAGGACTTCCCTTCAATCTTTAACTATTAAGTGGCAACAGCAATCGAACATACCATGTCAACTCACCTTGGGAAGTTGACTCCAATTGCAAACACTGCAATCCCCCTTTCTTTTATCTGCTGGGCTAAGGTTGACACGTTGTTCTGAGATCGCCCATCTGTTAAGATTATAAGGATTTGGGGAACTGATGAGTTCCTGCCTCCACGGAATCCTTGTTGAAGAATGTGTTTCAGAGCAAGACCTGTTTCTGTTCTCCCACCTCTAAAGCAAGAAAAGTGAGCATTAGGAAAGCTGCAGGCTCCCATTTTTGTTTTCTCAACTTCTGACAAATCCTTATTAATATCTGTACATGACAGAATATTTTTTTTCAAAAGTAAAGAGGAAATGAAATGTTTTATAACTATGGCATATTCATATGCATACTCAAATATTTTTAAAAAGCTTGACAAAACTATTTGTTCATTTTTTATGGAAGGAACAACTATTCAGAAACTCTTTATTAAAAACATAGATTTCTTATGATGATGGTATTTTAATTTCCCTGATACTAAACAATATCATTTGGCTTATTTGTTAACCTTCATTGGATTAAAAATGCTACTGATTATCTTCCACTGGGAGTTCAACTTGAGAATTACTACTAAGCATCCTGAATTCCTGGCAGTTTCTTGGTGATAATCATTGTGAGAATTTTATTATTTTTTCCTAGGTTAAAGGTAATCAGATGTATTGGGGCTTAGTAACTAAAAATTTAAAGTTGGATGTTCATCTTCAGGAAAGATTGGATTTTGCATAAACTATTAAAAATGGATGTAAATTATTGCACAAGAGATGGTAGATGCCTCTCATTTAAAGATATTTTATTACTTTAGCCAAAATACATTACTATCAAGTAAGATAAAGGAATGAAAGATTAGTCTAGTAATATATATTAATCAAAGTGCATCAATAAACTGAATGCACTTAATTGGATAATATGTCAAAATGAAAGCAAGAATTTATTACAATAACATCCTCATACATTATTTTGGATTTAGATAATACTGTCTCTGGGAAGCTGCTTTGGTATATGTAACTAAGGGGTTTCTTATTAAGAAAATAAAGCCATATTTTAGCAAATAAATAAAGCAAATAAATCTTATTTTAATTGTCTTCACAGCGGTCAAGGTCATTTGTATTATTTTGAAGAATAAAATATGTTTGTACAATCTGCAACATCTTTTTTCAGTTTTTAATCTCCAGCTTTGCAGTTCTACTTAAATCTGAAAATGTTTGACCACAATGCAGAGAGAGAGAGAGAGAGAGAGAGAGAGAGAGAGAGAGACGTATAAATTATTGCTTAATTCAATGTGATAATTATCAGAATGTGTGAACATGGAAGTAAATTCACATAATTATATTTCCCCAATATATTTACAGTATAAATAACACATACGCCTCTATATGTTATTTATACTTTTACACTTTTTACTGTTTTTGTCATTTTAATGTTTTTAAATGACATTATCTGCCCTGATAACCTTGGTTACCAGGAACTATAATATAATTACAGCTATTATTAATTACGTTTCATAAGCTATGATTTCAGGTTGTTTCCATTTATTCCTTCACATCCTTTCCTACTATCAAATAGCAGTAGAAACAAATTGTGTGATTCCCTTCATTTGTTGCATGATGTCATTTATTCCCTTTTTCCTATCACATGGAAAATATTAAATATCTTGATAAAAATAACTATGTAATCATATGAATGTAAGGGAGAACACTAAGACAACTGGACAACCTTCTCCCTCTGGTTCCCTCCAAAGGGGAGTGACCGTTTAAGGATCCTGGGGGGCACTAGAGTGGGAAAAGTGGCAATGAGACATTGCTTTAGCCCACACCAAGAGCTATTTTCAAATCCAACAGCATAATGGCGTATTCTCTGGCCTCAGTACAGGAGAAAACAGTGGTTTCTTTCAGACAGTCTCTTATAGCCATTTATCCTGCTCTTCTTTTCAATTGCAACGAACCAAAGGTGCTTTTTCAGGAGGCAACTGGACCTTCTTGTTTTTCTTTGGTTATCATCCAAAAAGCTGGATGGTGGTAAATAGAAGGATTTACATTCCTTGCAAACAGCTGGTCATTTGCATTCTTTTAGAGAGTCATTGGGGCCACTTGGAGGTTTGTCTGTGACCTCAGGGTCACCTGAATGGTGCAAAGGTTTGTGGAGCTTCTTGGCCTACAGGATGTTTTCTGCCTTGTGTCCCTTCACTGTTGAAGACAGGCACTGGCTGTTGGGGACAAGTCTGTGTTGCCTGCATCTCAAACTCAAACACAAATGGTTCCTGTAGTCGTAGAACCACTCTCTAAAAGAATGCAAATGATCAGCTATCTGCAAGAAATATAAATCCTTCCATTCCCCACCCTCCAGTCAGAACTGAACAAGCTTCTTGGATGAGACGCAAAACTACTTCAAAGAAAAAACAAGAAAGTCCAGTTACTTTCTGAAAAAGCACCATTGGAACAACCATGACCTGGATGATTAAGAATCTCCATAGACATATTGCAATGAATGTTAAGCTTTAATGACTTTTCAAGATATAATGGAGAAAATAGAGTGGATAGGTATGAGAATCAAGGAGAGATGTGCAGGAAAAAAAAGTAGCTGTCTTGATTTCCAAAACAATGACTGGTCTTAAAGGGAAAACACCTACTTTACAATGATACTCTTGGTTCATATCTATTATAACAGAAAAATAGCTACTTCCTGGATGAATGAAGCTGCACTCCTGATGAAAAAAATCCCAGATGGTGATTTGTAGGTGAAAACTTTTCTTTGTTCCTTTAAATATGATATATTTATATATTTAGCTAAATATATAAATATATTTAGCTAAATATATTTATATATTTAGCTAAATATATTTATATATTTAGGGTACCAGGATTATCCATACTTTATGAATTGTGCGGTTCTCTCCTTGAAAGAATGGCTATTTTCCAGCAACTGTTAAAGATCCAATGCTCATCTGGTAGGTGGGGTTTCTTATCCATCCCCAGACTTCTTTTTCAACAGGGGATGAAAGTCAGTTCTAGAGTCCCAGAAATTAAGTGCAGCTCTCAGAAACCCATTTGAATTGTACCAACTGACTAGAACATTTTGGCAGCCACAAAGCTTTGTATTGTTCTGCTTAACAAAAAGGGATCTAGTCTGGCAAGAATAGAAGACAAGACTGGAAATGCTAGATTCCCGAGGAACCAAAATCAGTGTTCTTGGGACCAGATTTCCATCATGCAGATCCATTTTTACACATATGGATATGAATAATAAAAAAATACTAGGATCTTTTGCAAGCACTTTATATCCTGTGCTAGATCATAGTGACAAAATTAATTTAAGAATATCATCAAAAAATAATCAAACTTCTATTATGTCTTTTGAAAGGCAAGTTTAAGCTGTCCTAGTGAGTTGTTTGATGCTGATCTGAAAGTCAGAAAGCATCTCAGGTTCCTACTATTTGCTAATCCCAAAGGGGATTCTTTTATTAATTCTGCAATAGGATATGGTGGACTAGTCATGAATCTTGACAGTCTCATCAACTTTTTTTTGCTCCTCTTAGCATGTGTCTGTTAGCTATGCATCCTTTCCAGAACAGTAACATATCGTATGATGAATAAAGTGCAGGAGTGATGCCAACAAATGGGTAAGAACAATAATAAATAATGTCACATACAAAAGAGATTATCAATAAAGGAACAGATAAGGGAGCTCACCAATATCACTTATAGGAGTATAATCAGAGACTGTGCAGTTTGCAATTAAAATTGGGAGTAATATCTAGCACTTTGGCCTTGACTGGAGTCTACGGAAAAATATATAAATCACTTTTATAACAAAGTGTTCTTCCTCATAACTCAGAAATGAACCCTATGTTTATTTATTTTGAAAAAAAATGAAATTAGTTCCATCCACCTTTTATTTCCTGGTGTATTCGGCATTTGATCATACTCTTGCTTTATGGTGTCTAATGCTTTAATCTACACATTTCTCTCTATATCAGCTTGTAATTCTTAGTACTCTAAACTCCTGCCAAAATTGTCTTTGAACTCTTTTGAAAGCCTTATTCTCAAGTTCCATGTCAGGAATGCATCAACAAAGTTGTGATGGCAGTCATGCTTTTCCTGGCCAGCTGCATTTTGTCAGTTTCCATCATTTTCCATCTCCAAAAACCTAAACCTACTGAACAGTTGTGTTTAGAGTTCCATTCTGTGATAAAGTCCATACCTTACAACAGTCTTCCACAAACTAATATATTGGAAATATAATTCTTAGAAACTGGGAAGTTTAGTCCCAATCTATTTGGATGGGGAAAAGATCTTTAATTCTTATTCCACCAAGACCTGGTTTGAGAATTCTAGTTCTCAACCTAGCATATCTGGAGTTCATCACATTGGAACATTATCTTAGAATATTATATAAAAGATTTGCTTATAAATAAATGAGCTAAAACTCTTTCTGATTCATTTATTAGAAAACTCTTGGATTTTAAATTTACAGCTGTCAGGATATTTTTTTTATACTTACATGTTAAATATAACCATAAACAAACTAATATAACATGCCATTGGAAAATTGCCTTACTGAACTGACACACATGGTTCGAATGGGCTGAGACAAAGAGAAAGAACAGGATAGAATTAGATATCATAGATAAACACATAATTTCAATGCAATTTCTGCTATTCTTTATTCTGTGGTTGAAAATGGCAACATGACAAATTAAAATGTCTCCTTTTAATTTATATAACACAGTAAACAAAAACATGGGAAATTATAGAAACATATAAAAATGATGAGCTCATTGGGGGATTTGGAGAAATACAGGTCCATCAGAAAAATGAAAATATTTATGTCGAATGAGAAGTAGGATGCACTGTGGAGATCATGTGGTATTGTGGTGAAAGTATTGTATTAGAAATAAGCATAGCCAGTGTCAGCCAAAGAAGCTAATAGGATGATTTTGGGCATTAACAGATAGCTAATCTAAGTTGACAGGAGAAATTACAGACTTATTGATCATTTGGTATAATTTGAAATGTTGAGTAAACTTGGGGAGAATTCCATATGATATAACAGAATATCATTCTGCTTTGAAAGGACTTTCTTTAAACAGAGGCTGGATGCCTGTTCAGCTACAATTCGTGATTTCTTATATTACTCGGACATGACCTTTGAGCTCACATAATGCAATTATATGATTTGATAATCCAGAGCAACAGTCCAAATACAAAATCTATCTTACTTGAACACAATCTTCTTGAGTTGGTCTTTTATCTCATGCTTGGTGAAATATGCATCCAGTGAGAATTCCAAGTGAGGAGTGTTGCTGAATTGTATTGCTCCAACTCTAACCTGAAAGGGTAAGATAAAGTTCATGCTAAGCTATGGAAACTTAGAAATAATTTAAATTTCTTCTCTTCTTTAGAATTTCCTCTCCTTCTGGTATTTTCCTTTCCTTCTAGTTAGAAGGCATATGAAACTATCAGCAACACCTTCAAAGGAATAACATTCACAATAGAAGAAGAAAATAACAACACACTAGCCTTCCTGGATATTCTCATCAGCAGAAGCAATGATGGCAAATTAGAAACACAAGTCTATTATACAGTAAAACCACTCATACTAATTAAATGTTCCATTATCAAAGAAACAACCCAAACTCTCACAATAGAAGCTGTGTATCCAAGAACACCAACTAGCAATCAGAAGACATGTTGAAAACTCCTTAATTGCACAACAAATTAGGAGATTTAATCAAAGTTTCAACTGGAAAACTGTGAGCATTCTGGATCAAGTTAAAGCCCCAAATGCTAGAGAATTCCTGGAAGCCTGCCATTCAGACAAATCAGCTACCAACATCTACATACCATTAAAAACAGATAAGCAAAAAGTTAAAAGCTAAAAGACCACAACACCAATTTGTCAGAAATCAACACTCTAATAAGCAGAGATTGACACCAGAATTTAATTTACTAGCAATCAAGCAGTAAACAATACCTCAGTCAAGAAAGTACCAAACAATCAAACAGTAAATAGCAGCCTAATCAAGAAACCAAGAATACTTCCACCAGCACTGACAAGGCAAGCTACTTGTACATAAACAGAAAGCAAAACCTACTCCCTTTTAGCACTGATGATGTTACATAGTTAGGTAATGAAATTTCTGCAAGAAAACAACCAAATTCAGAGAGTACCAACTAGCCCACATTTATATTATTAAGGTGATCCAGAAGCTTCTGTAGTTGGGTGGCATTAACAAATGCAATAAAAGTTAACAATTTTTTAAAAAAAAAAATATGCCCCACCTACCTAAATGGAGAACACTATGAAAATACCACCTCTCTCCCAATATAATAAAATAGAAACAGAAGGAATGAAACATTTCAGAACTGTTCTTTAAATTCAAGATTTCTTACCCACAGATCCCTAGGTTAGTTTTTATTGCAGTGCTATTAGTATTGTTTGGAATATATGAGTATACTTACCTTTTCTGGACTGATGTCCAATGCATCACAAAGCTTGATTGTCAGATGTTTTGATCTTTCAAAGCTTCCTTTGCCAATGCTATAGGATCCATCCAACAGAAATAAGATATCGACTGGAGCAGAGCAATTCATTACTGAAAAAAGACAGAGGCATTTTCTCATAACCTTTAACAATAAAAATTTGAACTGTTTTGTTGTGTTGTGGTCATGAATGGGATTGGCGGAGAAAAATAAATGCACACACTAAAGACAAAGATTACTATGAATAGCTTTTTTATTATAAATAGCAAGGGAAAGAAGAGGAAATCCAGTCATAGCTACATTTACTATCTAAAATATAATTATAATGGTTCTAGATTATACATTCTCAACTGTCAGGTTAATCTAGTAGATAGGTTTATAAGATTGCTTGCTAAGCATTATTAAATGACAATATAATATTATCTTTAGTGTTTTGGACCCTTGTTACATCATCTGTTCCAGTAGGTGGTGTAGGGGACAGGTTCCAGGCTCCCTTTCTGGAGCAATAATAACTAATTGGATCTAGGAGACATTTCTTTGTTGCTTTGCTTCTCCTTTGGAAGAAGCTTCCCCGAGCCCCAAGGTTTGTGCAATCTTAACCAACTCTTACTAGACCTGCCCTCAAAGCACCAGAAGGCAAGACAAGAAACAATGAATGGAAACTAATCAAGGAGAGATGCAACCTGCAATTAAGGAGAAACTTCCTAATGGTGAGAACAACTAACCAGTGGAACAGCTTGCCTTCAGACGTTATGGGTATTTCATCACTGGAGGTTTTAAGAAAAGACTGGACAACCACTTGTCTGAAATAGTATAGTACAGTGGTGGCAAACCTATGGCACGCGTGCCAAAAGCGGCACTCAGAGCCCTCTCTGTGGGCACATGCACCATTGCCCAGTCCCACCTTCCCTGCGGCCCCCTCCTCACCCACCAGCAGCCCCCCCGAGGAGAGTTACCCATGGACATGGAGCAGCGCAGCCCAGGACATGGCAGCTGGGCAGCAGGGACTGCCCTCATGCCCCATCACGCACAGATGCTGGAGGGCGAGGCCACCATGGTGCTGCAGGGCCACCTGAGCGATCTGCTGCAGAGGGCCATGGAGGCGGTGGATGGCCTGTGGGCAGGTGGGGTTTGGGCAGAGTTGGGGTGGGGCAGGGCAGGGGACAGAGTGGGGCAGGGCCGGGCGGCAGAGTGGTTTTTGGGCACTTGGTCTCTAAAAGGTTCGCCATCACTGATATAGTATCTGCTGGATACTATATAGGAGACCTCCAAGGTTCTATTCTATTCTATTCTATTCTATTCTATTCTATTCTATTCTATTCTATTCTATTCTATTCCTATTCCTATTTCTATTTCTATTTCTATTTCTATTATTTCTATTCTAGACCTGTCTTTCTCCTATGCATCAGACCAGGATGCCAATTGAGCCTCTCCTGCTGAAAGAGTGTTTTTATGGCTAGTCTGAGTTGTATGTGTATGGTTGTAGTTGGTTATTTTGATTATATAAATTATTCTTTTGTTCAATTTTGACTGTTTTTTATTTTTATTGATGTATGCCAACCAGACTCATAAATTATGAATTGGTGGCCTCACTCATGTCTTGAATGAATAAATAAATCCCAGCTAGTTTTCCCCCTATCTCTCCTAATCTTCACAATTAAAAATCCTGAAAAAGTTAGGTATCATTAACTTGGGCTTGAGTTTAATAAATGTTCTCATTCTAGTATCATCCAGCCTCTCCCCCATTCCCAACTCCACCCCAGCCTCTAGCTAACCTGGAGAGTACCAGTTAAGAAAAGACTGAACAATGTAGTTAAAAATGTCTTCCAGACAGTCTGCAACTTCCAGGCTGAGGTTCTAAAATGTGATAATGAACCCAATACCTCCTAGATGCTTCTGAGTTCTGACCAGAGCATATCCCATGGAAGTTGTGGAATCAAAAACATCTGAAAAGCCTAGCCTAAAGGACATGGAGATTTTACATATAATTCTTGTGGTTTAATGTTACTGCATTTTAGACATTCAGCCAGAAAAGTTTGTTATTCTGAAAACAGCAGCTGTTTCTAACTAGACACAAGATGTTATTCCTTTAGGCGCTTAACCAGTTTTTCCTCATGTACACAATGTACACCGCACTAAGTCATGCTTTATTAAGTAAAGTCACAACCAGTTGAGTTTCAATATCACTTTAAGCATTAATAAAAGCTGCAAATTGTAAGGAATAGATTTATGCAGTACAGTTATTCCAAACCAAATCAAGCCATATTATTGTTTAATACAAAGGAAGCCTCTCCACACACCCCACCTCTCAGCTTTTTAAAAGGCATTTATAATTGTTGTTGTAAATCCTTTCTGGATTTAAGATGTTTACTGATTGTTTTTAGCTCTGGGTCTGAGAGATCTGTAGTTATGAAGTTTTCTTGTTATACTACAATCCTTTTATAATCTTCAGATTAGATATGAGCTTTGGTTGATACAAGCTTCATACAAGCGTCAGGTTTTCCTGAGATAATGTCCTTGTTTTACCCAAACAAGAACAAACTTGCTTGCAAATTAATTATTTGCTGCTCCAAAGACTTATGCCTCAAGATAGAAATTTCATGTTTTTTAAAGAGATGAACGTAAGATTGTCCTTTTTAGAGGAAAAGGCCCATGAAAACACGCAAAGCACAAATATGTGTTGGAGAAATTGGTTTTGTAATTGCAGACTTCATACCTTTAACAGAAAAAGTTCTTTCAAATCTTTTTTTTTATATAAAACGAAACTGCATAGCAAATAGAAATATCAGTGGCTAAGGCAGGCTTCCTTGACATAATGCTTTCATTGTTAAACTAAGCCAGTGGTTCTCAACCTTTTTAATGCCGCGACCCCCAACCGGTCGTAAGTTGAGGACTACCCAACCGGTCATAAGTTGAGGACTACCCAACCAGTCGTAAGTCGAGGACTTTCCCTGCCTGGGAGCGCCGCGCGTGCGCAGTGCTGCCCCCTGCTCCAGCCAGGCGTAGCTGGCAAGCGGCAGAGACGGAGCAGGCTGACCACTGGCTGGGCCACCAGCTGGCCCAGCCCAAGGGAAGTAAGGCACCCGCTGGGCCCCACGCACACCAGCAACCCTCCCTGCGCCCACTGGCCTCCCACCTCCCACCTCTGGCCCTCTTTTACTTACATTTTTAGTAGTTGCTCAGCAGGGAGGGGTGGAAACTTCCAGACAGCTCGCCTTCGCTGCAGACAACTTGCAGCACCGTTTGCAGAATGGGACTTTTGGCGGGCTCAGCAGGGCAGAGACAGCCTGGACAATTCCTATTGGCTTTTGAAAGCCAATAGAATTAGACTCTATTCAAGAGAGTCTATTCTATTGGCTTTCAAAAGCCAATAGAATAAAAGGGAGTAGCACAGCTAAGGAAAAGGGGGAAAAAATGGCGACTGCGTTGTTTGGCGACCCCCGTGAAATGGTCGTTCGACCCCAAATGGGGTCGCAACCCACAGGTTGAGAACCGCTGCACTAAGTGATCATTATTCTAATCTTTGATTTTTTGGATTTATCCGTTTTTAGAAGGCTCAGACCAAAAAAAGTTACAATTGTGCTCTAACAAAATCTTCATCTGGTCCAGAATATAGCACCACCTGCAGTTTTAGGCACACCATTCTACATCTGTGTAATACTGTTGCTGTGTCAGTTTCATGGACTCCCAGTAGGCTGACGGGTTTAATTCAAGATGCTGGCCTTTAAAGCCCTAATGGCATAGGACGAGGTGATCTGTTTCCACTGTTCCTACCCATCCCACCAGATTTTTACAGAGTAGACATGTTCTGGATACCATAGGCAAAACAATGTCGCCTAACGGGTGCCAGGAAATATTCCTTCTCTATTATGGCGCCTGCTGTATGGAACAGCTTCTCCCCTCTAAATACAGTTCTACTTTATTGACCTTTCACAAGGCTGTTACATTTTAGTTCATCCCCCAGACATTAAGGTCAGGATGTTTTTAAGGGGACTCTGCTATTGATAAAGTGAATGGTTGTTTTGTGGTTTTACTGAATATCAATATAGCTTTATTTGGTTTATTTTAGAAAAGAATATCTTTTTTAATTTTGTTTCCTGCCTAGGGTTTTTTGGCTAGATTTATTTATTTATTTGACTTGTATGGCACCCATCTTGTCTAGATGGATGGTCATATAAATTGGATAAATAAAATAAATAAATTAAAATATGAACAGAAATAATCTCTTCTAGACAACACATCATTATCTCTCCAGGATTGTAAAAAATAAGTTCCTCTTGCCCATGAAAGGACATATTTAATGTCCTAGAAATTGATCTGATTGATCACATTCTACTTACCAATATGTATTGGAGCTGGACAACATTTTAGAGTGTTCAGGAATATGTCTGGTGCTCTTTAAAGTGACTGCTTTTTACCTTGAATCTGTTGCTTTAAGGAACTGATACAAGTGGCCCACAGGACTTTCTTAGAACCAAGCTAAAAGTACTGTATAGCCCTACTGTATATTGATGGAACCCAAAATAGGTAATTTAAGAAGCAGTTGCAAAAGAGAAGGAACAGCTTGCAATAATAGGAAACAAGTAAATATGTATGAATTCGCAGTGAAAAGGATAGTTATGAATAACTTCTGTAGACAAATGAAATACAGTACTTACAGTGGGAAGCAGCTGAAATCTTATCAATTATTTCTTGACTGATTTGTAGTTCTTGGATACTCCATGATATGAATACTGCAACATTAAATAACAGTAGAAACTGTCAACACTTACCAACATACTTCAAGAAAATCATGTCATACCATTCTTTTCAAATGACTGCCTCTTTGGGACAAAATAGTTTGCTTTTTTTCCCTTTGGAATAGCCAAGCATTTAAGTTATTAACACCATTACTCACAACACTAATAACTTCTTTTCAAAACTTCAGAAAAGCTAAAGACTTTGATTTTATTCTAGAAAGGAGAACACAGCTGAAGAAGAATGCAGGCTGTTACATAGCCTGAACATTAATCAGCAACAAAAAATAAAAATTTAACTGAAAGATCTAATTTATCTGCACTACGCCACTGTATAACTACAATCATTCCCCAGCAATTATTATATATTTGCAACAATTTTAAAGTTGATTAGATCCAAGAGTAGATATTCTTGCATTATGCATTATCATAGTCTCTGAAAGATAAACAGAGTATGTAAGAAAAGAGCAGGAAAAATATACAAATTTGCTATTTTAATAAACTAGATTTATTTCTGGACAATCTTCAAAAAAAGTTCAATACTTTAGAATTAAAAGAATGCTTGCATGCTTGTTTAATAGTTCTTGCTTTAGGGATCCATTGGTCGAACTAGAAGTAACTTTCTAGTCTATGTTTTTATCACTTCTTTTCCTGCTGTGATATAATAGGAAGCAGAAAAACTGGTTTTATTCTCTTTAGTGAAAATGAGAGAAAAAAAATAACCTGGATCTATACTATTGTGAAAATGTACAGTTGCTGGCACAGGGCTTACACTGAGATTAGAATTTGTCTACTTCCCTAACATTGTGTTTTGGTTGAACATTAGCAAGCAACTGACTCATACCTAACATAACTCAGTATCAATGTATGCATTATTAATAACCACAGACGAAAGAAAGAAAATCACATATGGTAACTAGGCAATCAAATAAGTGGAGACACATTAAAAAAATCATAAAGCCTCATTCAAAATTAATTTTTTCTAACCGGGATTGCTACTGAACTAAATTTAGCTACCTTCATGGAGTAATCAGTGAATCGATCTGATAATAAAAAAAAAGTACTACCTCCACTTCACACCAGGCACTTAGAATGAAGAATTTTGTGACAAGAGCTAGAGAAAAAGGATACTCCGGTAACACATTTACTTATTAAAATTATATGGCCATCCAATTCACACACAGTGATTCAGGGGTTGGGGGATGGGACTTACAATATTAAAATATTGCAGTGTAAAAACCTATGAAACATTCACCCCAGCAGCAGCAATCACACACTCACACCACTTGATCAGTTCTATATCAACCAGGGTTCGCCAAACCTGCTGACAAAACTACATCTTCAGGGCTTTTTTGGGAAAGTAACAAAATAGGGCCAATCTTATCTCCAGCAGAATGATATTCCAAAGAGTGAAAACCACCAGAGAAGGTCCATTTCCTTGGTCCCACTACGTGTACCTTCATATTAGATGGAACCCGTAACTTACATTGCCTTCCTGCTCTGGTGGGCTGGATAGATGTAACTTGAAAGAGGTGGCCCTAAGCAACTTTTTCATGGCTAAACATGACATAAATACTATGTGTTATCATATGTTCCTTCTAACACCGCAGATGATAACAAACTTCACTGGGGTGAAGACTCTCCTTCAAGGAACAGATAGGATGGTAAATAAAAGTTTAAGGATAAAAAGGGCTCTGTAAATTAGGACTCTTATTTTGATGGTTCAGGGCCTTAAGCTTGTCATTTTGTAGGTACAAATCGAAGACTCTTTAGATTCTATAAAAGATTTTTCAAGGCTAAGCATGAGCTGAAAGACCTAATAGACCTCTTAGCTTTACCTTTTTTCCACAGAGATAAATCTACAGTAGAGGATGGCCTGAAATAAAGACTCACCCAAAACAACTAGTTTTAGCCAGCTTTTTAAATGGCAAATCCTTATACAATCTTCATTGAATATAAAGCAATGAAGTATGTTAAGCACACAACAAAGCATACAGTGCATGGCTCATTTAAAATAAAAACTTGAATTACACTCAATATGTTTAAATCATAAGTGGAAAATTAATGGCACTCAAACAAAACAGCCTAAGGTTTAAATACTTGGGAATCTTCCAGACTTTTATAAGGTAGAGATATCAACCTCATGACATTTCAGTCCCTACCTGAAAGTTCTGAATACTGCAATGAATTTTGCCAGATGTAATAGACATAATTTTTTCAACTGCCACCAAGTTATTTAGAACAAAGATGCCAATTCTCTTGTTATGCTGCAGCATAGCTTGGATGCTAATTTTCAAAGAACTAAAACATTCAGATTTATTCTCTGTAGATTCAGTCATATATTCTGTCATAAACAGATGGGTGTTGCACGCTATACCACACACTATTATTTCATTCACTGCTGTCTATAAGTAAATTTTAAATATTACCTTGGGAAAACAGGAAAGTGCAAAACGACTCAAAATGTATGAGCTTTGTGAAGACCATACTGAAAAGGGAAAAGATATGTGTTACTGTAAGTACTAACCCAGTAAGTACTGTTTTTTGTTTCTCATACTTTAATATCAAAGCAAATATGTATTACAGTCACAGACTAGTATAAAGAGGGTAGGGTAAAAATTTAAATCTTCAATTTAAAATGAGATTTTAGCAGAAACATTTAAACACAACAAAAGAGAGGAGAGGAGAATGTTAAAAATAAATGGAGTATTTTCGGTGGGTGAGTTCTTGCACAGATTTTATAACAGGAAGCAAAGTGTAGCTATTGGAAAATATTACAAAGGGGCAGTGTGATGCTGGATTGATGATGAAAAAAAAACCCCAATGCCAGTTCAGATAAGAGTCCTGGTATACAGAAAGGATACAATTGGTGGGAAGGTAAGACGGAGGGGTAAACAGAGAAAAGATTTGAGTTTTTTTAATACTTCCAGTTGCATCTGTCAACTACATGTAAAACATAGGATTTGAGTTCACAACCACATTAGTATTTTTTACTCCTAATTTTGAGGTAACTGGGCATAAATTGGGTTTTACTACAGGTCAAGAACAAGCTCAGAGTTGCTGCCTTCACACAATTTAAAGTGGGAGGGTTTTTTCTCTCACACAGCATCTTCTACCAGCAAGAAAATCAACTACTAATTGTTCTACTGAATATGAGTAGATTGTACTGTAGTTGGGGAATTCTGGGTTTCCCCTTCCAGAGCAGGTAGCCTTATTTATTTGCTGTTTACTTGCTTGCCATAAAATTTCTAACCTCTTCTAAGATCAATAGTTTATGGTTTGAACAGAGGGAACAAAAAAACTAAGCTACAACATAGGTCAGGGGTAGGCAACCTTGGCTCTTTTATGACTCATGGACTTCAACTCCCAGAATTCCTGAGCCAGCTGTGTTAATCAAGAAGAAGTATGTAGCGCTCTGCTCCAGTTCAGAAGATAATTCAAGGAAAAACTGAAGTCATTAACCATCTTGACAGAAAAAATCTTTGTCAATCTTAGGCTTGTTGTTGGAAAAGTTTCTGGAAAATATTGGAGAAAGTGGAGAAGACCAAATAGTCATTGGTCAAGCTTTCTGTAAGAACATTCATGACTCTCTTTTGTCCAATAATGATTAAGAATTAATTTCTCTTCAGGTTATTCCACTTTTCTCAGTCTTTGAGCTTCAGAGTGAAAAGAGAAAACTCAGTTCTACATTTAACTCCCTCTAAACTGATAAAAGGCACATCCTCCTACATAAAATTCTCTTTCCAAACCTGTCTGTTTTCTGCAACTCAGGAAAGGCTTAGGAAGATCATAGTAGATGCTTGCTGCCCAACTCCCACCCCCACCTCCACCTCCACCAGCTAGGCTAGTTTAACAGCCTGCGTAATCGCCCTTTCATTTCCCCCAGCCAAGTCCAGAGAGAAAGCCAGCATGAGGTAAAGTATTTTGCCTATGAAAAGACCCCAACCAGTTTCACTTAGCAGAGCCACCTTCCCACTGCCAATTGCACCTCATGCAGCAGAAATAAATTCAGTTTCTTACTCATTGCTAGATTACAAGTGTCTGCTGGTACTGTTTCCAGAGGGTACACATTTATATTTGCTTAGAAGGAGCTATGCAAGAAGGAACTTGCAAAGTTCTTCATTCCCTAACACAATATGTAAACTGGGAAAATAAGGGTACTTATCTTGAGTTATGTGACAGAAAGAATTTATATCCCACAATTTTGCACAACTACCATACACAAATGGTACTGAAGTTAAGCCCTTGTCCTCAGATGCACTGGAGTAAAACTTTCTACATCCTAGCAGCTAAAAAGGTTCAGCATCACTGAGGTTTATATTCTAACCCATGGAAGGGGAGGAGGTACCAGATTAGGGACGGAAGTTACATTCCCATCAAATGTACAGTTTATAGCAACTTTCTATTAAGCATTCTTTTTGCTTTGGGATTGTTTAACTGAGAAACAATATAAACGTGTTAATGAATAAATAATCTATCTACCCACAGTACATGTATTCATTGCAGAGGTATTAAAATATACTTTCTTTTCTTCCCACAATAGCACAGAAAAAGTACTGACATTGGCTCCGTAATTCACCATACAAAAAGCAGCGAGCAGCTGTTCTTCTCTGAAGAAGTCTGCTGTGATGTTCAAGAGAACACAACATTTTTCTAAAGTGGGGAACCATTCACAAAGACTTCTGTTTAAATATAATCCTGGTAATCTATGGAAACCTTTATGTGTATATATATATCTGCACATGAGGCATTGGCCTGTATTGAAGCATTGACCTGACCCAAGTATTGATGGAGAAGCAACGTCATAGAGGTGTAGCGTCAGACTATGATGTAAAATTATAATGAAGTAGTCATATCATGGCTTTACATTTCTGCTCCTGATTCTCGTGGTATCAGATGGTATCTCCTTTGTGATGTCTCCATACGTGTTTGTAAGAGATACATATAGGTCATGATTAAATCTGTTACAGATATCTGGCAAATCGAAAACACGATTTTCTTATTGTTCATTTACTCAGATTTACATGTCACCTACTCATGCAGTGTTCAGTGGCCACTAATCTGATTAATTAAAAAAAACAATTAAATTAACTGATGAGGTATAAATAGGAAAACATAAATCAATTTTTAAAAAATAATTCATGTTTCTTTGTCTATGGCTCACTGGTCTGTGAAGAAAGCAAAACACCATGCTGTATAAATTGCAGATGCTGTGTTCTCCTTGACCACATCTGGCTCCTGCTGCTGCCCCATGATATACTGTTGAGTTAATGATGGGAATCATTAACAAAATCCTAAATTTTTTTAATCCCATGAAAGCAAGGCACTCAGTAGGAAGAATTCATTAACAGTTATAGAGCTGGCAGATCTGTCTCCAGTGGAGAAAGTCTGTGGGTAAAGCATCTATGCTACAGCATACATACTGAATTTTTACAAGAGGTAAAGAGTAATAGTTGGCCTGTTGGTGCACATTGTACAGTCTGAGAATCAGTCTGAGATCACGTATTATTGCTTTTTAAATATATGAGTAACTTATAAACCCGTTTGTGCTGCTCTAAATAGCAGTGACATTTTCTAATAAACACCCTTTATCTAGCTGGCAAGTACCCAAGTTTATTCTAGCAAAAACTTTCCATTGCCATTTAAATTGTGCATGGAAACTATCATCTTGTAACCAAGAAATAAGGCTGCTATGATTCAGAGGTGAACTTCAGTGAATAGTTTGGAACTGGGTGCTCTGCCATTTATAATACCCCATCATCAATATTCAGGGCTTCATTTTTTCCTTTCAGGTGTAGCACTTTCTAGCAAGTTTGACTCATTCATCCTGAGATGGAGCATATAATTTTTAAGGATGGGTATTTCTTGATAAAATTAGTGCAGTTTCAAATACATACATTCCTACTATACCGTAATAATAGCTATAACCATAGATAGACTGAAGAGAAGTTTGAAGTAAATCAAAGCATGACAGCTAGCAGTTGTAGCTCTTTCAAAGTGTTACTATTAAATCAAAAGAGCTATTCTTTTAGTGATTGGGGGCATCACTTAATTTTTTTTGGCAGAATGAGAGTGATAAAGTGATTTATTTGGATTTTGTCACTTTAATATGTCTCTTTTAAAATGCTATCTGAGTTTGTAGATCATGCTAAGACATAATCTTATCCAGTTTTAAATAATTTAACTGTATAACATTAGTCATGTTAGAGCACAATTTATGACTTACCATAGTTTATTATCTGAGTCTAATCATATTGTGTTCTAGTTAATAAACCATGATTAAAATAAACTGACTGTATGAATCCAATTAAGGAACATATTTTTGAAATAGTAACACACATTATAGAAATGGAAATGCTGAGGAATAATAAAAAGCAAGGACAGATTCATATAATCATGCATGTAACCATCCACCAGCTGACAGATGTCCTTTATTTGCTCTCTCTGGAATTTATACAGCTGTTTACATACTAGCAAACTAGATTCATACAAACCCACATTAAAGAATCCAGATCTTGCTACTAAAATGGGACGTTCTGCTTGTCTATAGTGCCAAAATGATCAATCATTGCTATGCAACTGCTCTTTGAAATAATAGACATCCGCATATTTGACAACAGATTGATGGAACCACTTATTGTGCAATCTATCAAAATTTGCTGGTAAAAATGATTAATAGGTTAGTATAATGCATTAATGAGATTAGAATGGTTGTTCAGTAAATGATTGTTAAAATATATCATGACTTACCATAAAGTATAGTCCTATTTACTCCTGCGTGAGTTATCTATAAATGGTTTATTCTTGATTCAGTTATCTAATGTTTAACAAATTGTTCAGGCCAAATGTAAATAGAAAAATGTTCTTGAAGATGAAATGCTAACATTTAAAAGTAATGCAGTTATATTTCTCTACCTAATAAATTATGGTAAGAAAAAGGTGGGAAGAACTGGGGAAAACATTAGAGCAGTGTTTCCCAAACTTGACAATTTTAAGGCATGAGGACTTCAACTCCCAGAATTCCACAGTCAGCAACGCTGGCTGTGGAATTCTGGGAGTTGAAGTCCACATGCCTTAAAATTGTCAAGTTTGGGAAACACTGCATTAGAGGGTAACAAATGGAAGACAGCTTGACATTTCACATGTAAGACAGGATGACTGTAAAATAAAAGCCTCTTCTGGTTTCATCCCCCACATTAAAATATAACAATGAATTGACTATTGAACAGATAAATCTGTTCTCTTTCATCTTTATCTAAGGCAGTGTTTCTCAACCTTGACAATTTTAAGGCATGTGGACTTCAACTCCCAGAATTCCACAGCCAGATGCTGGCTGTGGAATTCTGGGAGTTGAAGTCCACATGCCTTAAAATTGTCAAGGTTGAGAAACACTGATCTAAGGACAGGTGCTGGAATTAATTGTTTGGCATATGAAGAGCTGAATGGTATATTTGTGCTATAGTTCCTCAAATAGTCCTATGGAAAATATGTGAAGTTCTTCTTCATTCTGCTGTCTACAGTCCCCGAGGCTGAAATGTACAACTGAAGCTGTGAGGCTACCTATAGCTCCTGGTTATGACTAAAGAAATTGGTCAGATTATAATTTTTCTTCTAACATTATTAAATAAGTAATTACACAGTAATTACATTATGATTATTTTCACTTAGTTTGAAATATGAGATAAAATTTTAGTGGTTCATCTTGATCCCAACCACATGTACCATTCTAGCCTGCCATTAAAAAGTCAGTTATGATACTTAGTCCAGAAAGTTGCACTTCTCTGCTTGAAGTGAAGTAATTTAAGATGAACCTGAGATTATAAGCACATCAGGCATCTATTCTAACATTTTCTTTTGCATGAAGCTTTTTATTTTGTCTAATCTTTCAGACCTGTCTTAATGGCTTGATTCAACAAGAAAAGTGGCTGTGTTGCTTCCAGCTGCATTAGGAAACTTTAGCAAAGCAGAAGAGATCACATAAGTGGTAAGATCAGGCAATGATGACATGTATGGTAAGGCACATATTTTATTAAGCATACACAGTAGATATTTCTTTATTTCCTCAGGTAGTTGGCGTAGCTCCCGTAACATGCAATAGAGAAGGAGACAGCTATCTGCTCAGTGTGCTCCATAGAAAGGAAAGTAGGACAGTGCTCAAGTCACAGCAGAATGTGAACAAATTTGAACTGCTGGGCACAAACAGAAACTTGGAAATCATTTGCAAGTTATTATTGCCATTTGTATATACAATATACAGCTTTCAAAACAGTACTCAAAAGATATGTGACAAGTTATGTCTGCTTATTTAAGCAGAAAGTTAATACTCAAAACAAAATGCCAAGTTCTCTAAAATTCTCTCCATGCTGGACAGTCTGCATATGAACATTTTATATATGTACACACATATACAGGGGCAGAATAAAACATGTTGGAATTTGCCTCACAGCTAAACTTTAGGTTCCAACATAATCCCCCAATTTCTCTCTCTCTTTAATTTAACATGTAGTCTGAAAAAGACTTCTGGTCTAAAAACTTGAACCCTTATCTTAGGTTCTTTTAGCAAGGTTCATATGGAAAAAAATATATTTGCCATATGATCTGGACAACCATTGTGCAACAATATTTAGTTTATAACCATTCTAGTTCCAAGAATTAAAAGAGACAAAATTGAGTTTGGGGTCAGGGTGGGGAGACAATACTAAAATTCTTCATATTCAAAACTTAGCAAACTGTTGGCACACAATTCACTTAGTCCATCAACAAGCATTAGCCTTTTTCAACCTGATGTGCAGGACTACAACTCCCACACTCAACTGAGAATGATGGGATATGTGATTCAATACTTCTGAGGTGGTGGAACTATGGAACTTTGCACCAGGCAAAGTTCTTCCAAAATATTGCACAATGCATTTTCCAGGATCAAAATGGAAAGATACCAAACTCGTTTAATAAGAGTGCTGCTTATGCCAAATCCTCTGTCTTCAGGACAGCTTTTCCAAATCTTGGAAATGTGGGTTGCGGCTCGTACTGCAAAACCGAGACCCCGGAGAGCATTGTGATTCATAATCGGATGACCGTAAAATCTGACAAATGCCTCTCTCTCCCAAATCCCTCAAATCCGCTGATCTCTGCGCTACACCGAGAGGAGCTGGGGGTCGCCCAGGTCCAGAAGGCGGTTTTAAGCCTTCGCGCAAGGCTCCCTTCTTCGGACCTGAATGATTACGCGCGCAGCAACTTTTCGGCTCTCGAGCCTTAAGCCGCCGCCGCCGCTGCTGTTTTTGTTTGCAAGGACCAACTGATGAAAGAGGTTGAAACTTACCTGGCGCCTTCGTTCCCCGAAACTCATTGGCTGAAGGTAGAGCGCATCAGACGTGCAAAGTAAACTTTCCGGGGGGAGGGGGGGAAGCGAAGCGCTGGCGCACTTAGTTTCGAAGTTCCCTTTTTACATCTACCCTCTCTACTTTCTTTTCTGTGAACAAGGGAGCGCGGTGCTCCGGGAAGTTTATTTGCCGCAATAAAACAGTCCGCGGGTTATTCTCTCCCGCCAGGCACGTTGAGAATTGCTCCTGCACAGTATTCCCTTCCGCAGCACTCTAACTCTCTTCCCCAGCCCCAGACCAGGAGGCTGCAGCAAAGAGAACTTTTCCGCACAAACTTGCACCAAAGCGGGGAGGGTTTTGCGCAGGAGTCAAGATGGGTGTTTCCCTATTTCTCCTTCCAAGGGCCCGTTCGGTCACGTTGGACAGGCTGAGTCGGTGGGAAGATACGCCTCCGCCTATTGGGAAAGGCGGCAAGTGCCAAGGAAATTCGGGAGTCGGCACTAGAAATATGTACCTTTAAGGTGAGGAATGCAGAACAGGAATGCCAGCAACCAATTACACACTGGGGTCAAAGAGACAGACAACCCCTCCCGTTTCTCCTTTTCAGCCAGGTGGATGTTTCTTTTCTACCTGAAGTTGTGGCATCCTTATTTTTCCTGGCTGCATCTAATGTATTTTAATTGTTACTGATACCTCAAGAAGTAGTGGCTTATTTTATACATTTGCTTAGTTATTTTACTGCACGTAGATCGCTATTACGTATCCCACATATATGTGGACTCAATTCATATAATACTAAGCTGTAATTTCCTGAGCTGTGATTCATTTGAGTAGAAATTAGTGGATCAAGCAGTTAAGCCGGATGTTTTGTACTTCCAGACTTGCAAGATTCTCTAAACCTAATGTATATTTAGCTCATCTAGTAGTATTTCCTGTCTTGTTTACCTGCAAGGACTGACTCCAGTCTTTCAAGTTTAAATGTACAAAACTTCCCATCTCCTGCTTGATCCCTTAGGGTGGGGTCCTGAAATTTCTTTCTCTGGCCCTTAAGCCATAGATGAGAGGCAGAAGGCTCCTACCTGTCATCTGATTGTTTCCTAGACAACAATCTCTTCCACTTTCTCCAAGATCATTCTCACCTCATCACAGAAACTGAAATCTTGACCAATCCCAACTATATTTGAACATATACCGGGAAAGTATGAGACAAGCAGCAGCCTATAATGACATGCAGATAAACACGTGCACAGGTTATCTAATTTTAAAATAAGATAGTAAAAAAAAGTTACAATCAATGGTGATTGCCTTGGTAAGCAAAAATGAATCCCCGTTTTGTTTATTTAATAATACGGATTCTGGAAATCCTTAATCAGTTTTAATGGCTCAAAAGCTTTAGCTGTAGAGTTAAAATATTTTATCTTGCAGGAGGTGCAGAGATCAAGGATTGGGACTTTTTAACAGCATTCATATCCATCTGATGGGAAACCTTTTCTCACAATAGCAGAAGATTCTCTACAGATAGTCGTTTACTAAATTGTCTTGTTTAGTGACCTTTCACAGTTACTATGGTAATGAAAATCCTTGCATTTACAACTTTTGCATGTGTAGAAAGCAAACTAAAAAAAATGAAAGCACTTTTATTTAAAGCTGTTAAGTATGAGTTAGGCTTTGTGCTGTACCGTACGGCACCATTGAAATAATCTGAATCCAGTGCTGGCTTTAACCAGCAGTGAAAGATGCCTAATATTTTTTGTTCTTCACGAGATTTAACACCATCAATTTAATTGCTGCAACCTGTGTCCAGGAGGAAAGGGAAATGTGGACATAGCCATGGTAAGTAAACCTGTATTTTAGGGCTGACTTAATTATTGACCCTCTGTTCTCTCAAAGACCTGGCAATGTAGTGATGACTAGGGAAATCTCATGAAATGTTTGATATTTTTGTCAGGGAGTTTTATTGAAAGGAACATGCAAGGCAGGATAGTTGTAAGATACCTAAGCAAATGCTTTAGGTGTTCAGCTTAAGCTGCAAATGACTTCATCTCAGTAGGGAATGGTTCCACATTCAGTTAGACAGCTGAAGAAGAGCTGCATTTTAAATAGACTAGATCAGAGGTGGTGAACCTATGGCACGGGTACCAGAGGCGGCACTCAGAGCCCTCTCTGTGGGCACGCGCGCCATCGCCCCAGTCCTAGGCCTTCAGCTGGGCTTTATAAAATCTTTTCGCTTTAGGCCTCCGCCACCGTGTGCAAAAAAAAAAAAAAAAAAATGTTCAATCAATCAATTTCAACTTCTTGCAGGAAAAAAAAAAAAGATCTTGCAAAGTTGGAATTGATTGAACTTTTTTGTCCCACCCAGTCTGCCGTTACCACCGCAGACACACCCAGCCAATGGGCCACACCCAGCCAATGGGCCATGCCCACCTGGCACTCGACAGTGAACAAGTGGGGTTTGGGTTGCAGTTTGGGTACTCAGTCTCTAAAAGATTCGCCATCACTGGACTAGATCACTGGTATCAAACTCGCTGCATCACGTGACGTGTTTCAACGTATCACAACTTTTTTTGCATTGCCGGAGCTGAGTGGGCGCGGCCTTTGCATGTTTGTTTACAACTTTCATCAAATCTGTAGTTGAATGTGTCTGTCAATGTTTTGAGAAGTAGGGGACAGGCCTGCAGGCATCCTTAGACATTTGAAGACAGAATATAGTCTTTGCCTTATAGAAATTTCAGGGTTCCTTCCTGAGAACAGTTGAAGATTGCAAAACACAACTTATGGACATATTAGTGTTCAGTTTTGGATGTATGTCACACTTAACCAATTTGTTTTCTATCCCAATCAAGTCTATGTGATTCCTAATGTGAATATCTAAAGTCTATGTCAATTCTTCTGGTAAATTCTTAGCAACACAAAAGCTAATGAACTGTTCAGACTTGATCTGACTTAATAAAAGTATTGCTTTAATAAGTATTATACAGTGTTTTTACATTTTGATTCTGCACAGCTCTGCTTCAGGACCCAATTACAGTTCAAGTATCTGAAAAACTTATGGCACACAAAACATAGTTGATTCTAAATTATCCCAGTTATTTCACGGCATCTTTTGGCAGAAAAACTAGTTTCGCACTTTGGGGGATCCAAAAATCAGCAACCTAAATTTTAATATGATACAAAACAAAATGCGTTAACTTTTAATATTATTTTTACAATATTTGATATTACTGCAAGGTATGATACATAGATAATTTTATTTTTCAAAGGCCTTCATAATGTTAGGAATGTTATCTTCACCAAAGCGATCTTTCAGGAGAAAATAAAGAACCTGTTCAAGTTTTGCAACCTATAAAATAGAAGAAAACCAGAAATTATAATGAAATTATCTTGTCTCAAGTTAGGTTTTCAGTCAATTCATTGCAAACAGAAAGCACCAATAAACATCTAGTTCAGATTATATTTGCTTAATATTGCAATTAATATACTCTACTTATTCAACAAATAATGAGCCTCACTAACAGAACACATATTTTATAAGTATTAGTTTGGAAGCATTATCACACTTAATTTTGCTAATTTCATACTAGTCCACTTTTTTGTTAAAATAAGAATTAATATTTCTGAAAATATAGATTATTAATTTTGGATTCATAGCTTTTTCTTGGGGAAAGGACACATCTCTTTATTGCCTTTACAGTCAATTACTCATATACACGGAGAGCTTTATGATAGTTGAAATTTGTAGTTGAAATTTCAGGAACTGGTTACATTTTCATTTGGGAACATAATATCAATTATGCAATGACCTCTACAAATTCATGTTTTTATTATGTTTTTTTATTATGCAGGTTATACATTTTAAAACCCTGATTTGTATCTTTCAGTGAAGATATTGTAACAGACAAACGTTCTGTAGATCATTTCTATGTAAACTATCTGTACTCAAAAATCAAGAAAATTAATTTCAAAATGAAACTTACTTGCTTTTTCAACTCTATGCAGGAACAATCTGTTGTCTTTGAACATTCTAAACAAAGGAAAAATAGATTTAAATATGTATTCCAGTAGTGACAAACCCAAGTGAAAATAGAAATATACTTCCTAGTACTTGCTACCAGTATTTGTTTAGCAATATTATCTTATACATAGCAGATAAATATGCAGGTATTTGTTTGGAAGTACTTACGATTCCCATTATTGCTATATTTTGCCAAATTTTCAATTATTAACTGTTCTGCTATATCCATAACACGATTTTCACTCTTTTTTTGCACAATTACTGGATAAATATTTTGAGAAACTTCTTTCACTGTAATCATTACATTGGCATTCATTAAGAGACTTTTCAGCTTCTCTATTGCTGATATGGACCACTTTCCATCCAGTCCCATAATATCTGGAATAGAGAAAAACTACAAATATATGCTGGTTCAGAAGTTCAAAGAGATTTACTTTCAATCAACTCTACACAGAATGGTAATGTTAGAACCATTTACATGTACTTCATTGTATATTCAGCATTAATTAAATAAAGGAAGAACTGTCTCTTTAATACCCTCTGCCACACCTACACAGCAATACATGTCATTGAATTTCTGACACATCAAGAATATATGTGGCATACTTTAAGGGCATAACTAACACGAAAAAGGAAAGAAAAGGCTTATTCAAGCAAGGAATCATCAATTTTAAAATTATTTTATGCTGACACTAATATAATGTCACTAATACCATTTCACGTGCATTTATAGCACAAATTTCATCTGAATCTCTATTTTTTCATGATTATGAAACACTGAAAAGGAGTACGTGTCTTGCCCTCTGGCACATCTCTCTTTGTATTTAAAATCTGGATGTGGTCATCCAGAAGCAACAAAGGGGGGGGGAGGGAAACAACTCACTATGGTTACTTATTAATTAACATTAATAGTTTAATGTTATGAAGACATAAACAACTATATAACTAAAGGAAATATTTACTGTTTGAGAAACTAAACTGGTTGGTTTGTTACCTGCTAAGGAACATTTAAGTATTTGAAACGGTAACTGTAAGTAGGGGGCAGTTATAGGCTGAAGTCTAGAGAAAGGCAACATCTCCACAATTCCATAATCAGCATACACGATTTTTATTTCTGATTCATGAATCCCCAAAATTATAGCACGGTACCATTTATCATCACCTAAAATGGTGGGGGAAAAAAAATCAAGACTGAGAAGCTCATCATTGTAGACAAACCAATCAACTGCATATTCCAAAACGCTGAGGTTTTTCTTAAATATTGTGAAGACTGCACCCACTCTAATTAAATCTTGATTAACCCACTTGTTGCTCTTCTGCCGAACTCTCTGTTTGTTCAATGAGTTTTTCTAAAGAAGAAAATCCACTGTGGAGAATGTCCCTATTTCTAAACTGGAGAGTAAAAGTGAAGAAAGGGGAGAAGTCTTAAAGGAAAATATCTTTTTAAAAGAGTAAACTGCTTCTGTGTAGCTTACAGTACGTGGCCAGAAGTAGTGTTATAGAAAATAATATTTGGAAGAATTTTTCCAAATTCTTGTATTTGAAGAGAGATTTATTTTTTGAAGGAATAAATTTCCTTTAAATTTAGAATTAATTCAAAAAGCCATTTTAAAAAAAGAATGGGACTATGGGAGGTTATTTAAGAGGGAGATAGTCAAGAATGAGCAGTATGATCAAACACTATCACACCAGTGGAAGCACACCCATTGTGAATCCAATAGTCTCTCGGGGCAATTTCTTTCTTCACACTTGTTCTCAAACTGCTTTCGCATCCATAATAATTCCCACATGATCCTTAAAGGCCTACTGATTTGTTCCACCCCAATAAACACCCTTCTGGCCTAAGTTACTAACAAAAGAGACAGTGGGATGTCTCCTGATGTCCTGGCTGGTTATCAAAAGATAAACCTGAGTCTAACTAATTGCAAAAGGTTATAAAATCAATGTCATTAATAAAAACAGGACAGAGAACTTAAATAATTTTCTATCTAAAGTAACTACACT